AATTTCTCCCCAGATGATCCAAGAAATTAGTAATGTGAGGAAGAGGGTACATATTTAGGATTGTTACTTCATTTAATGAATGATAATTGATATAGAAATAAATACTCCTATCAAGTTTTATTATAAAATAAGGTTCACATGCCCAAGAACTCTGTGACTTTCAAATAACACCCTTTTCCAATATCTCCTAAAAATTTACATATAAAATATTAATTTCTTTGGGTGACCGATGACAAACAAAAACCTTGATTGGCAAGCATCCTTAGTTAGAATAAAATGACATGTTGCAATCTTAACCATAGACGATAGGTCAAACTCAAAAAGATTAATATATTCCTTTATGAGCCAATCAACCGTAGCAACACAAGAACTGTCAAAGGGATCACAAAAGGGAAGAGAGGAGTAAGAGGGAACATAAAAAAAAGTAATAGGGAAAAAAAGTGATAAAAACAAAGGTTAAAATAAAGAGATGAAGAAGAATAATAGTGAGAGAAATGGAAGAAATATAAAGAAATATAAAACAAAGGGAAAAAACCTCAAAGTCACACTTAACATGAGTGCGCTGCAACCAATCCATACAAAGGATAATGTCAAAAGCTTGACTCAAAACCACCCACAATAACTGTAACTCAAGTTTGAAACCACCTATATGCACAATCAGGTCTACTTCATCCCATGCACATGCATATGTATGCCCGTTGCCATAAAAAATGAAAACTAACTCTGCCACACTACGCAAATGTAGACACTAATATGTCGCAACAAGCCGAGCAATAGAAGATAAACTCAAGTTTGTATCAACTAACACAAAGAGAATAATAGGAAATCTTTTGTTAAAACATTAGATGAACTGATACCAAGTGAACCCCTTAATAATACTCTCGAAACAAAAATGAAAGGGTCACTAACTTATTCGTGCAAGGTCCCTCCGCTGCTCACGTGACTTCTCATTTCTGAAAGCATCTCAGTGTCCAGACCTTCTACTACAACAACACCAATAAGACATTGTTGATACCAAGGTTTTCACCTAAGAAATTGAGGTCACCAATCTAAAAAATGCTAATAATACTGATAAGTATGACCAACTTCATTATATACCTAGCAATGGACATCATAACCATAACCACGTCCTTGCCCTTATCCTTGAACTCAGGTAGCAACAACATCAACCTTCATTGGAACAAAACCATCTCCCATAGGAAGTGAAGATGAAGGATATGCAATGAGAAGTGGAAGAGGTGACATCTCATAACATTGCGCCCAAACGAAGAACATCATTAAGGGTGGCTAAAGCAAATGCATGCATAAGTCCTACAAGATCTTGACGAAATGCTAGCCACAACATTCCCAACTTGATCTGCTCTGATATATTTAACTCCATACAATACAAGAGGCTACGGAAATGAATGCTAAACTGCATCACGAACTCATACAGCCTTTGACAAGACAATGCAATTGTTGAAAGGCATCATCACAATTATTAGTATGTTCAAATGCACGTTTGAAGACATTTGAGAAAATACTCCAATCCTCACAAGTGGTTGTGCTCAAACTATTGTACTGTTGTAGCGTCGTCCTTTGGAGACACATGGGAAATTCACGCAAATGCTGAACATCATTCCAAGATTGATATGTGGCAGTCACTGTGAAATGATCAAACTAATGATACACATTATCTATAGGATTCCGACATAAGAACTTCAGCCGGACTCGAGAATTAACAGCAAGAGCAAGAGGAGTTGTACCACGCGTTGTGAATGCCACCATCAACTAAGTCTGATTATTCAATTGCAACTACATAGCATTGAGCAATTGCATCCTCCTCCTTTGACTTTAGAGTAGCAATTAATGCTGCTAAAATGAACGAAAAGGAAAAAATCAAAAGAGAAGAAATTGAAAAAGCTATAAAGAAAGAGAGATCTAAATAATGAAAAAGCTAGATTTACAACAAAATCCCAAATTCAAGCACTTCTTAGAGACAATCAAAGCTGCCCCTCATCTCCACCAATGTGAATGTATGGAATATAGAAATGGGATATAGAAAATTTGCATATTAAGTATAGGTTATATACAAGAGTTAGTGGTCCAGATTGAAATTAATCCAACAACTACCAAAATTCCACTATGTTAATATTAATATACAGTGTTGTAGTTATATATTTAGACCTCACACTAACTATTAAGCAAAATGTTATATTATAATCAATAAATAATTTGCTAGGCTTGATTTTGCTTATTCCTATTTTATTAATATTATTAATCAATAGAATTTTTTAATTATAAACATGTTTATCAACCATTAGAATAAACTAGAATATACTAAGAAGTGTTTAGGAAATTTTATAAATTATAAACATGTTTATAAGTTATAAATACAAATTTAATCTAAATAATTAACAACAGTTAAATGGTAGAATATTCAAGAATATTCAAATATATTCCACTCTAAAAATAATTTCTTTCTAAACTAAAACGTTGAGCCAATATGTTTTAATTTAATGTGCTTAGCAATCACCAAGGAAGGGAGGGCTAACGAGCTTCTTGTCATTCAATCCTCTTCTCTCGCAGGCAATATACACCCTTTGCCTTGGCAAAAGCAGCGAGATACTATCCTCTTGCGGAGACTGGTACAATTTCCGCATTGATTTAGCAGGAGAGCAGCGACACGGCATGGCGCTTCGTGATACCAGTCGCAATCCTGCACAGGGCCAAGTGGTCGGGTGCGTGTAAGTTCTAGATCTTTCTTGCCTTTGCAATTCTTTTTTGAGCAATGGCTTGTTGCGGGAACTTCTCCAACACTTATGGGTGCATTCCTGAGCAGATTCCTGAGCCATTGCAGGTGGATTCGATCCGGGAGAGCATGAGCAGGCAGGTGCTGGGGTGGCCAATCGTGAGCGGGGGATGGAGCTGGTGGACAGATCGTGGTGAGGGATGGCGAGGGAGGAGTTGAGGAGGAAACTTGGGCGCTTGGGAACTGGGGCCATGTCGACCAAAGGTTAAGAATTCTTTGGTAGGAAAGAAGACGAAAGTTTAGCGGTAAATTACATTTTTAATTATAATATAACCTTTTCTTTAGTAAGTTAATATTGTTCTTGAGAGTCCAACCCAAAGGATGCCAAGATTCCCGGGCTGCGGGAAATCCTTCATGGCATGAAGAGCAACGAGTAGAGTCTTCTCTATTATGTGCGAATCTTGACGCGGGATTTCATGTAACCCTCCGCAGCGTCTATTTGTTTCCATCCACACGAAGGAGCGCTGTGCTCGCCACATCGCCTTTGATGAAAGAATTTATAAGCTTGGGTTCATCGACCAGTAGCAAGGCTTCTGATCCGATTTCAAAGTCGTTTGAAGCCATGACCACCTCGCAAAACCTACGCTCTCGGAATTCCATCCTTCAAAACCATCTGTCTTTCAGCATCTTATGATCGGCACTTGAGGAACAAAACCCGCATGCGCAGCGGCCACGTCTTGCAGTTTGTGAAGATCTCTACAAGTTATTTCCGCCTCCATTCCGCTCGAGCAGCTTTACAGGGCGAGCAAGCTAAGAAGTCAGTGTTAAGAGCACTAATCTTTCTGCAAGAACACTTCAAGTAGCCTTTCTTCCTCTTTTCGCTTGTCACCTGCTGCAGTAAAGCGCCCATCAACGAATCCAGCACCTCCGGAATGGGGAGCACCAACTTTTATTTCGTGCTGTAGAGCAAAGGATCAGATTGCCTGGTCAATTCCGGTCTACTTTCTTGTACTTTCGTGCCTCTCACGACCTTTCTGTAGTGTTCTAATTGGGCACTTATTCGAGCATAATTTCGAAATCACTACTTCGGTACTCCCCAGCCGCCTATATCTTATCTGGCTTCCAATCCAACGTCAAAGCGCTGCGAATGGCGGGTGCTAGCAAGAAGCCTCATGTTCTAGCGTTCCCACTCCCAGCCCCGGGCCACATGAACTCACTGATGCACTTCTGCCGCCGTCTCGCGGCCTGCGATGTCACCATCACCTACGCCTCCAATCCGAGCAACATGAAGCTCATGTACCAGACGCGCGATCTGATTGCAGACCCCCACGCCAAGAGCAACGTCCGCATCGTCGAGGTCTCGGACGATCCAGGTAACAGCAGCAACGATCTCGCCAAGGGGGATCCCAGCGAGCTCGTGGAGAAGATCCGCCTGGCAGTGCGGGCCATGGCAGCCTCTGTGCGAGAGCTTATCCGGAAGTTCCAGGAGGAAGGGAATCCCGTTTGTTGCATGATCACAGACACCTTCAACGGATTCACCCAGGATCTGGCGGACGAATTCGGCATCCCCAGGGCGGCGTTCTGGACCTCCAATGCGATCAGCGACATCTATCACCTCTTCCTGCCGGAGCTCATGTCCAAAGGATTCGTGCCAGTCACGAGTAAGTTCTCCCTCCCCTGTTTTTAGGGTTCTAAGGAAACTCTTCTTCTTCCAGCCAGGAAAACGGACGAGCTCATCACATTCCTCCCCGGATGCCCGCCGATGCCCGCCACGGATCTGCCGCTCTCCTTCTACTACGACCACCCAATCCTGGGCGCGATCTGCGACGGCGCGTCGCGGTTCGCGGAGGCGAGATTCGCGCTGTGCAACACCTACGAGGAGCTGGAGCCCCACGCAGTGGCGACGCTGCGCAGCGAGGTCAAATCCAGCTACTTCCCCATCGGCCCGTGCCTGTCCCCCGCATTCTTCGCGGGGGACTCGACAGCGGTGGAGCGATCCAGCGAGCACCTGTCTCCCGAGGATCTGGCGTGCCTGGAGTGGCTTGACACACAGAAGGAATCCTCCGTGATCTACGTCTCCTTCGGCAGCGTGGCCACCATGTCCGTGGAGCAATTCCAGGAGCTCGCCAGGGGCCTGGAGCGCAGCAACCAGCCATTCGTACTGGTGCTGCGCAAGACCCTGGTCGCGGATCCATCGGTTAACGATTTCTTCGAGTGATTGAAGCAGCGGATCGGCGAGCGCGGGATCGTGATCTCGTGGGCGCCGCAAATGCACGTCTTGCTCCACCCGGCGGTGGGAGGATTCCTGACGCACTGCGGATGGAACTCGACCGTGGAGGGGATCTGCGCGGGCGTGCCGATGCTCGCCTGGCCTTGCATGGCGGAGCAAAACGTGAACTGCAAGGAGCTTGTGGAGCACTGGAAGCTGGCGATCCCGGTCCAGGATGATCGGGATAAAAGCTCCGTGATCTCGGTCTCGAGCGAGAGGCTGGCGGATCTAGTGGCGAGGCTGATGAGAGGCGACGAGGGTCGCGAGATGCGAGCCCGGGCTCGGGGATTCCGCAAGGTTACTGCGGCTGCCATAGCCGAGGGAGGATCCTCGGACAGGAACCTCAAGGCCTTCGCCCAAGCTCTGAGAGATCTGTGATCTCTTGGACGCGACAATTAGAATCGATCAATGGGTCAGTGAGATTGGAAGTTTTAATAAGCCAATTTGTGCTGCCTCTATGCGGTCTTTCACTCCCTCTTTTCCATGTGTTTTTTAGATGGAGAGCATAACTTAAGTACTTGGACATGTTTTTGGAACAGATTCTTGGGGTTGGGTTTCAAAAACCATGTTGCCAATGCACAAAACTGTGCCAGAGTGTCAAACTGTGGTTGCACAGTGGTGGTATTTGAGCTAGCAATAGCAAATAGAAGAAGAAAGAGATACATTCCCAATAAAGATAGTTCCTCCCCTTGTCCAGCGCCCCAATATAGCATTGTTGCGCTCCAATCTTTGAGGCTCCAAAGATTTAAGGCTACAACATGTTCCTGACGCCCTTGCTATGGGGTTTCTTGTGGTTCTTGTGGCCAGCTGGGAAATTCAATAGCCCCAAAAGTTTTGTGAGTATCTAAGAGTGAGTTTAACAGCAACATGTCTTTTCCCGCTTGGCTCTGTTGCCCAAGGCTTCTGCAGGTTGTGCCTGCGCCCCTGCATGCGGGCAAGATCAATGCTCAAGGCCTGACTGGATGACACTTCTGCAATTTCCAAGTCCAGCTGTTGGATCAGTCTCAATGAGTTCGATAGTTTGCCCCTGCCTTGGGTGGCAGAAGGTCAAAGCATACAAGATTTCTTGATCCTTGTTGGAAACAATCACTGCCACCAGGGGTGAGGCGCTTCTAGCTCTAAGAGTTGCTTGATCAACAATTGGCAAGGGATCATATCAAATGTTCCACAAATCCAAGTAGCAATGTCTTGTTTCATCCCAACCTTGTACGTTCCATAAGGATGCACAAAGTGACAAGGTCGTCCAAGCAAGATCACTGTTTTCGAAACCCATTGGCCTCAAGTGTGTATGTTGTGTTCAGATATATGCTCTCTATGACATGAGCTGAGGTGGCAGTAGTGCCACCTCACTGCATGTCTTCGACTGTCATAGAGTCATCCTTGTCCATCGTGTTTTCTTCTTCCCAGGTGGAGATTTCCTTTTCAATTTGCTTAGCAAGTAACTGGACAAACCAGTGTGCATGTAGATTTCCTTGAAGGGCCGATTGTGCAGGGGCTCATGGAGAAAGAGTTTTCGAGATTATTCCAGAAGCCTGTGACGAAGAGGCTTTTGTGTTTAAAAGTGTTTAATAGTGATCTTTATTTCTTGAGTTTATTACTGTCCTTGGCATGTCCTTGTGAGGCATATGTATTTTTCCAAACGCACCAGCTACTTTTTTCACAAAACAGCTCTTAGGAACTTAGTACCTTAAGAACTGCCTCAACTCCTCTGGATGCCCACAAGACCATAACTTCCTGGTTGCATACTTCTCAAGCCTGACAACACCTGCTTGCAAGCTGGGATCTTTGGCTATGGTGGAGAGTATTCTACTGGATCTGGCATCGCACTTCTCACCAACACCAGTGCGAGCGTTGTCAATGGTGTCGTTTACAAGCTTGTCCTTCTCTTTCACTGATCTCACGGTTCCTCAGACAGCCTCAAGGCAGCTCCTCAAGGTCTACTACATCCCAGCATCGATCCCAAGACTGCCTTCCGGGAAAACATTCTACCTTTCTTATTTGACTCGTAGGGATTCAAACTTGGCCTGCTAATGGACAAACGTGAAAGAAACACGAGGAAAAGACACAGGCCCAAAGTTTGTCACTGACAAGTAGCGATTAATTCAGAAATCACATTTAATACAACCTACCAGCCGTGTGTCCAAAACGTTCGGACCAAGGCGTGCGACGCGGGAACTGTTCCCTTGCGTTGACCATGCCACTCTCAAAAGATCGATCGCTTCTGATCAAGAGCAACACGACCATGGCCTACACTGACACCCCACAAAGCCATCCAACGCAACAGCATCAAGGACAGCAGCAAGGATTCACCAGCGAAGGCCATCCCGTTGCCCCTCCTGCTGCTCATCCCCAGCCTCCGCCTGGTAGTTACTATGGACCCGGAGTGGCAACCATGGCACCCCCGAATTCTGGCCTCTGGCCAACGGGCCTCTATGGATGCACTGAGGACTGCCCCTCTTGTAAGGTTTTTTTTTTCGAGAAAAAGAGTTCTTTTTGTGCAGCTTGGATGATTGACTGAGTGATCTCTTTAAATTTGCTTTCTGTTCTTTGATCCTAGATTTGGTTTGTCCAGATAGATAAGATATCCGTTCGACATTTCTTATCAATCCTCTCCATCTGGTGTAACCACAGGCTGGTGTGCGTTGTGCTGTCCCTGCGTTCTTGTTGGGCGCATGGCCAACATTCTGGATCAAGGCATGACCTATTCAACTTTGAGATAAACTATATCCCAAACGTTTTGTTTTTTTTTATGTTCCACTCACGATTCTGCTTGGATTTGTGATCCAATGTTGTAGCTGTCTTCACCGGAGCCGCCATCTTTTGCGGCTGTGGCTGCCTCTACAGCTGCCTGTACCGTGCAAAGCTGCGCCACAAGTACGGACTCCCCGAGGAGCCCTGCAACGACATCTGCACCGAGTGGTGGTGCAATTGCTGCTCCATTGCCCAGGCTTACAGGGAGCTCAGGAACCGCAACATCAACCCGGCTCTGGGTATGATTTCTGGGGCCTTGGTGATCTTTGTTTCCTGATTTCTGAAAATGGTGATTTTTCAGGGTACGAGTTTGCGAGGGCGGTGTACGAGCAGCCACCTCAAGTGCAGGAGATGCGCAAAATGTGAGCTACGGAAATTAGTTTTTAAAATCTTCAACTTGAAAATGCTTCTTCGGGGCTTTCCAAGAATGCCATGTTGCATTCGTGATCGGAAGGATTTCTTCCTCGTGACATTGGAAAATAATAGAAGCCCAAGTTTGTATAAATTTCGAAACATCTCATCTAGAATTATTTAACGTCCTAAAAAGAACATATACTGGAATATATTCTGGAAGAGCTATCCTCTTATGACGGACGAGCAGCGCCTTCACGTAGCGGTGCTCCCAACCACCGGCTCCGGCCACATCAATCCCATGCTCGAGCTCTGCCGTTGCCTCGTCCCGCTAGGATTCCAGGTAAGCTTCGTCTATCCCAGCAGCCTTCGACACGATGATCTTCACTTCCGAGTGGTGCCAAGCCCAGCCTCGGACAAGCTTTTGCTCATGGATCCCGCGTTGCAAGAGGACGTGAGACCGGTTCTAGAGGCCCTCCGTCCACCAATAAAGTGCCTTATCGCTGATATGTTCTTAGGCTGGTCACAGGACGTGGCCGAAAGCCTGGGGATTCCACGAGTAGCCTTCATTCCCAGTGACTCAGTCATCGAAGCGACGTGCTACCATATTCCAGAGCTTGTCTCCAGGGGTTTCATTACTGGCCATGTTCCTGCCAATGGTGAGAAGAAGAAGAAACTTTACAATTGCTTCATACCGATCGACGAATATGTGTTGTTGTCTCAGCCGATCCAAATCCGGACGCTTTGATCGACTTCATCCCCGGTCTCGAGCCTTTTACAAGAGAGTTGCTCCCTCTTGCCTTCCAGAACTGGGGACCCATTGTGACCACTCTGGGAGTTGCAGCCAGACGAACAAAGGATGCGGTTTGCATTGTCGTCAACACGATTGAGGAGTTGGATCAGGAAGTCGTGAATGGACGGAGGTTGCTGTTCTCCAGTTATTTACCAGTCGGACCTCTGGTACCTGCAGAGCTTCTGCAAGAACAGCACCCGATCACTCTCAGTTCTCCAAATGACACTAGCATGATCTGGCTGGACAAACAAGCTTACGGCTCGGTTCTCTATATCGCTTTTGGAAGTGTTGTTACTCTGCCAGCCGACCAAGTGGAGAAGATTGCAAGAGCTGTAAAAGCCACTCGTCAGCCAGTATTGTGGGCAATCAGGAGGAACTTTGCAAAAGACGTACCTGAGAACTTTTATGAAAGCTTGCAAGAGATAGGTGGGGAGCAAGCCTGCCTGGTGGTGGAATGGGCTCCACAAGTAAACGTCTTGCGCCACTCCGCGGTTGGAGCCTTCTTAATGCATGGTGGATGGAACTCAGCTCTAGAAGCCCTGTGCTGTGGAGTACCAATGCTTTGCTGGCCCTGCGCTAACGATCAGAACTTGAATGCTCTCACGATAGTGAAGAAGTGGAGAACTGGGATAATGGTGGCTCATGGACCCAAAGACGATGTGAGAAGTGAAGACTTGGGAAACGTTATAGATGCTGTGATGAATGGCGAGGAAGGGAGGACGATGAGGAGCAGAGCTAAAGAACTTAAAAAGATTGTGAGTGTAGGTACTTGCCTGGAGAGAAATCTTCAACAGCTCAAGGATGTGATCATAGCCAAGTCTCAATAGGGGCTTGCAATACCATCTGGGTTCATTGTTATACCATTGCACTGTTGTCCCTTGGAGACATATGGGAAATTCACGTAAATGCTAAATATCATTCTAAAATGATCAATTACTTTGAAGTGATCAATAATACACATCATCCCTAAGATTCTCACATAAGAACTTTAGCTAGATTTGATAATTAATAGCAAAAGCATGAGGAGCTATACCATGCACTATAAATGCTATGATCAATTGTGTTAGATTATTCAATTATAATTACACAATTACACTAATTGTTACTTTAGAGTCAAAGAGGAAGATACTATTACTTTACTATGAAAATAAATGAAAAAGAAAAAATCAAAAGAAAAGAAATTAAAAAAGTTATAAAGAAAGAGAAATATAGACAATGAAACAGCAAAATCCTAAATCCAAGCACTCCTTAGGGATAATTAAAGTTGCCTTTTATCTTTGCATGAATGGGAAAAATCCTAATTTATATACATAAGTGGTTCAAATTGAAATCAATTTAATAACTATTAAAATCCCACTACACTAATATTAGTATATGGCATTGTAATTGTACACTTAGATCTCACATTTACTATTAAGCAAAAATTTATATTATAATCAATAAATAATTTGTTATACTTGAGTTTGTTTATTGCTATTTTATTAATATTATTAATCAATTATTTTTTAATTATAAACATGTTTATCAACCATTAGAATAAACTAGAATATACTAAGAAGTGTTTAGGAAATTTTATAAATTATAAATACAAAGTTAATCTAAATAATTAACAACCGTTAAATGGTAGAATATCCAAGATTATTCAAATATATTCCACTCCAAAAATAATTTCTTGCTAAACTAAAACGTTGAGCCAATATGTTTTAATTTAATATGCTTAGCAAGGGAGGGCTAACTAGCTTCTTGTCATTCAATCCTCTTCTCTCGCAGGCAATATACACCCTTTGCCTTGGCAAAAGCAGCGAGTAGAGGTCTCTGACGACGGTGGCGAGACGTGGCGCAGAGCGGAGAGGAAGTTCGAGTGCTGCGCGGGGAAATGCAACCGGAGGTATGGAAATCTGCGGTCGTTTAACGAGCACCGGTGTGAGAAGCACAAGCTCCCGCCCGTGTCGCAGCTGCCCAAGGGCTTCAAATCCCGGAAGGGCGTCCCGCACGGCACGTACTACGCGCTCAAGAAGCAGCGCTACAACGAGGTCAAGGACTCGCTGCGCTTCAAGTGGAAGACCCAGCTCCAGAACGCGAGAGCGAACTTGAAAAAGGACTACATCGGGTGTGGGATCCCAGCGGCAACTTCTCGCGCGAGCACTGGATCCGGAGGGTGAACAAAGCTTCTCATACGGAAGATGAACGCCATGAGGGAGGAGCATCCTTTGGTGAGTTGGAAGTTCTAGCTAGATTTTGTTCTTCTTTGCTAGTTTCTACGTTTTGCTTTTGCGAGTTTATATGAGTTCCCGCATTGTAGGAAAGGTATCGGCCACAAGCTGGAGGCCGGCCATCGCACCAGGCTCGGATCGCGAGGCTCGAGGCTCTTAAGGCGGAAGTGGAGAGCTACAACGAAGAAGACGAGGATGTGAACGAGTATAACTCTTCCGAAGAAAACGAGCATGAGGTAAGGTGTCGCAAATGATTTCTTCGTTGTGTTTCCGAATCGTCCTCATGATCAACAGGATGAGCACGAGGATGATCGGGGAAACTCCATTTCAGAAGCCGAAGATGATGAGGTAACAAGCTATAATCTCTTATAGCGCTTCGTTTTGACATGATCCTCTCAAGATGGATGGAAATGCTTTTGCCGCTCGCGATTCGATCGTGGAGATCCTCATGAACATCAAGGTGAGCTATTTGACTATTGTCTACTTATTCATTGTCCGCGAACCTATTGTCAATTCTATAGGATGGTAGTAGTCACCACCACAACACAGCTCAAACAATTTCCGCATTGATTTAGCAGGAGAGCAGCGACACGGCATGGTGCTTCGTGATACCAGTCGCAATCCTGCACAGGGCCAAGTGGTCGGGTGCGTGTAAGTTCTAGATCTTTCTTGCCTTTGCAATTCTTTTTTGAGCAATGGCTTGTTGCGGGAACTTCTCCAACACTTATGGGTGCATTCCTGAGCAGATTCCTGAGCCATTGCAGGTGGATTCGATCCGGGAGAGCATGAGCAGGCAGGTGCTGGGGTGGCCAATCGTGAGCGGGGGATGGAGCTGGTGGACAGATCGTGGTGAGGGATGGCGAGGGAGGAGTTGAGGAGGAAACTTGGGCGCTTGGGAACTGGGGCCATGTCGACCAAAGGTTAAGAATTCTTTGGTAGGAAAGAAGACGAAAGTTTAGCGGTAAATTACATTTTTAATTATAATATAACCTTTTCTTTAGTAAGTTAATATTGTTCTTGAGACAAAGGATGCCAAGATTCCCGGGCTGCGGGAAATCCTTCATGGCATGAAGAGCAACGAGTAGAGTCTTCTCTATTATGTGCGAATCTTGACGCGGGATTCCATGTAACCCTCCGCAGCGTCTATTTGTTTCCATCCACACGAAGGAGCGCTTTGCTCGCCTCATCGCCTTTGATGAAAGAATTTATAAGCTTGGGTTCATCGACCAGTAGCAAGGCTTCTGATCCATGTCGTCGATTTCAAAGTCGTTTGAAGCCATGACCACCTCGCAAAACCTGGTAAAGCACGCTCTCGGAATTCCATCCTTCAAAACCATCTGTCTTTCAGCATCTTGTGATCGGCACTAGAGGAGCAAATCCCGCAGGTGCAGCGGCCATGTCTTGCAGTTTGTGAGGATCTCTACAAGTCTTTTCCGCCTCCATTCCGCTCAATTCTTTCGCAGATTTACAGGGCGAGCAAGCTAAGAAGTCACCGTTAAGACCAACATCCATCTATCCTGATCTTTCTGCAAGAGCACTTTAAATAGGCTTTCCTTCCTCTTTTCGCTTGTCACCTGCTGCAGCAAAGTGGCCACCAACGAATCCAGCAGCTCCAGAATGGCGAGCACCAACTTTTGTTTTGGCTGGAGTTGTCCATGTGGTTGTAGTATAGATGATGGGGCAAAAGATCAGATTGCCTGGTCAATTCCGGTCTACTTTCTTGGCCTTGTAGTCACGTTCGAGGAGCATTCCTTTCTATGGTGTTCTATTTGAGTACTTGTTCAAGTAAATCACCACTTCGGTACTCCCCAGCCTCCTATATCTTAGCTGGCTTCCAATCCAAGATCAAAGCGCTGCAAATGGCGGGTGCTAGCAAGAAGCCTCATGTTCTAGCGTTCCCATTCCCAATCCCGGGCCACATGAACTCACTGATGCACTTCTGCCGCCGTCTCGCGGCCTGCGATGTCACCATCACCTACGCCTCCAATCCGAGCAACATGAAGCTCATGCACCAGACGCGCGATCTGATTGCAGACCCCCACGCCAAGAGCAACGTCCGCATCGTCGAGGTCTCGGACGATCCAGGTAACAGCAGCAACGATCTCGCCAAGGGGGATCCCAGCGAGCTCGTGGAGAAGATCCGCCTGGCAGTGCGGGCCATGGCAGCCTCTGTGCGAGAGCTTATCCGGAAGTTCCAGGAGGAAGGGAATCCCGTTTGTTGCATGATCACAGACACCTTCAACGGATTCACCCAGGATCTGGCGGACGAATTCGGCATCCCCAGGGCGGTGTTCTGGACCTCCAATGCGATCGACGACATCTATCACCTCTTCCTGCCGGAGCTCATGTCCAAAGGATTCGTGCCAGTCACGAGTAAGTTCTCCCTCCCCTGTTTTTAGGGTTCTAAGGAAACTCTTCTTCTTCCAGCCAGGAAAACGGACGAGCTCATCACATTCCTCCCCGGATGCCCGCCGATGCCCGCCACGGATCTGCCGCTCGCCTTCTACTACGACCACCCAATCCTGGGCGTGATCTGCGACGGCGCGTCGCGGTTCGCGGAGGCGAGATTCGCGCTGTGCAACACCTACGAGGAGCTGGAGCCCCACGCAGTGGCGACGCTGCGCAGCGAGGTCAAATCCAGCTACTTCCCCATCGGCCCGTGCCTGTCCCCCGCATTCTTCGCGGGGGACTCGACAGCGGTGGAGCGATCCAGCGAGCTCCTGTCTCCCGAGGATCTGGCGTGCCTGGAGTGGCTTGACACACAGAAGGAATCCTCCGTGATCTACGTCTCCTTCGGTAGCGTGGCCACCATGTCCGTGGAGCAATTCCAGGAGCTCGCCAGGGGCCTGGAGCGCAGCAACCAGCCATTCGTACTGGTGCTGCGCAAGACCCTGGTCGCGGATCCCTCGGTGCACGATTTCTTCGAGGGTTTGAAGCAGCGGATCGGCGAGCGCGGGATGGTGATCTCGTGGGCGCCGCAAATGCACGTCTTGCTCCACCCGGCGGTGGGAGGATTCCTGACGCACTGCGGATGGAACTCGACCGTGGAGGGGATCTGCGCGGGCGTGCCGATGCTCGCCTGGCCTTGCATGGCGGAGCAAAACATCAACTGCAAGGAGCTTGTGGAGCACTGGAAGCTGGCGATCCCGGTCCAGGATGATCGGGATAAAAGCTCCGTGATCTCGGTCTCGAGCGAGAGGCTGGCGGATCTAGTGGCGCGGCTAATGAGAGGCGACGAGGGTCGCGAGATGCGAGCCCGGGCTCGGGGATTCCGCAAGGCTACTGCGGCTGCCATAGCCGAGGGAGGATCCTCGGACAGGAACCTCAAGGCCTTCGCCCAAGCTCTGAGAGATCTGTGATCTCTCGGAGGCTAACAACCATTATGTAAAGTCAATATTTCTCGATCATACCAAGATTTACGAGAACAAACTTGCGACACTGTTTGCGATGCGGACGGCGGTTGCGTGACTGACTTGTTATCCTAAACCTCCCGGGATTGGGATTATTGAAGAGATGTCAGCTGACTTGCTACATATTACATCTACTGTGTCGCGTGCGTGATGGAGAACTTCAAATGTAGCATAAAAATAAAGATCTTTAACATTTCTTAGTCTTATTCATCCATTTTGCAGAAGAGCTTCTTGGGGAGGAACCGAGGCTGGGTGGCGCTGTGGCGTGCACTTGAGCAGCAGCGCCTCGTCTTTGAGATTATAAACATCACTTTTATTTTTCTGTTTATGAAATCGTCAATATTCTTAGAATAACAAATCGATATTCCTGTACTTTGATGGAGAGGACAAAAACTAAAGAGAGGTTTCCTTTCAAAGTCTGGCCAAAGCTCCACCCCGCCGGTGCGACGTTGAGCGACGTGACCAGTCGATTGTCACTCGTCACGACGCGGAACGAGACTGCCCGATGAGCCTGCTATCGCTCTGCCTCGACATGGATGCCCACAAGACCATAATTCGTGGTTGCATACTTTTCAGGCCTCATTGCTCTTCCGGAGGACAACACCTGCTTGCAAGCTGGGATCTTTGGCTATGGTGGAGAGTATTCTACTGGACATGGCATCGCACTTCTCACCAACACCAGTGCTAGCGTTGTCAATAGTGTCGTTTAAAGCTTGTCCTTCTCTTTCACTGGTCTCACGGTTCCTCAGACAACCTCAAGGCAGCTCCTCGAGGTCTACTACATCCCAGCATCGATCCCAAGACTGGCTTCCGGGAAAACATTCGAGTGACCATACCTTTCTTATTTGACTCGTAGGGATTCAAACTTGGCCTGCTAATGGACAAACGTGAAAGAAAACACGAGGAAAAGACACAGGCCGCCGTGTCCAAAGTTTCTCACTGACAAGTAGCGATTAATTCAGAAATCAAATTTAATACAACCTCTGCAAATGTCCGAAAGATTACCAGCCGTGTGTCCCAAACGTTCGGACCAAATCAAACGTGGCGTGCGACGCAGACAGCGGCTGAACTGTTCCCTTGCGTTGACCATGTCGCTATTGGCCAATACAATCATTACAAGAATCTCCTCTTCCACTCTCAAAAGATCGATCGCTTCTGATCAAGAGCAACAACACCATGGCCTACACTTACACCCCACAAGGCCATCCAATGCAACAGCATCAAGGACAGCAGCAAGGATTCACCAGCGAAGGCCATTCTGTTGCCTCTCCTGCTGCCCACGGAGTGGCAACTATGGCACCCCCGAATTCTGGCCTCTGGACAACAGGCCTCTATGGATGCACTGAGGACTGCCCCTCTTGTAAGGCTTTTTTTTTTTGAGAAAAAAAAGTTGTGCAACTTGGATGATTGACTGAGTGACCTCTTTAAATTTGCTCTCTGTTCTTTGATCCTAGGTCTGGTTTGTAGCAAACTTGCAGATAGATAAGATGTCCGTGCGACAATACTTAAAATGTTTTCTGATCAATTCTCTCCATCTGGTGTAACCACAGGCTGGTGTGCGTTGTGCTGCCCCTGCGTTCTTGTTGGGCGCATGGCCAACATTCTGGATCAAGGCATGACCTGTGAGTATTCAACTTTGAGATAAACGATATCCCGAACGTTTTTTTTTTTTTGATGTTCCACTCACGATTCTGCTTGGATTTGTGATCCAATGTTGTAGCTGTCTTCACCGGAGCCGCCATCTTTTGCGGCTGTGGCTGCCTCTACAGCTGCCTGTACCGTGCAAAGCTGCGCCACAAGTATGGACTCCCCGAGGAGCCCTGCAACGACATCTGCACCGAGTGCTGGTGCAACTGCTGCTCCATTGCCCAGGCTTACAGGGAGCTCAGGAACCGCAACATCAACCCGGCTCTGGGTATGATTTCTGGGGCCTTGGTGATCTTTGTTTCCTGATTTCTGAAAATGGTGATTTTTCAGGGTACGAGTTTGCGAGGGCGGTGTACGAGCAGCCACCTCAAGTGCAGGAGATGCGCAAAATTTGAGCTACGGAAATTAGTTTTTAAAATCTTCAACTTGAAAATGCTTCTTCGGGGTTTTCAAGAACGCCATGTTGCATTCGTGATCGGAAGGATTTCTTCCTCGTGACATTGGAAAATAATAGAATAAATTTCTAAACATCTCATCTAGAATTATTTAATGTCCTAAAAAGAACATATACTGGAATATATTCTGGAAGAGCTTGTCGTCAACACGATTGAGGAGCTGGATCAGGAAGTCGTGAATGGACGGAGGTTGCTGTTCTCCAGTTATTTACCAGTCGGACCTCTGGTACCTGCGGAGCTTCTGCAAGAACAGCACCCGATCACTCTCAGTTCTCCAAATGACACTAGCATGATCTGGCTGGACAAACAAGCTTACGGCTCGGTTCTGTATATCGCTTTTGGAAGTGTTGTTACTCTGCCAGCCGACCAAGTGGAGAAAATTGCAAGAGCTGTAAAAGCTACCCGTCAGCCAGTCTTGTGGGCGATCAGGAGGAACTTTGCAAAAGACGTACCTGAGAACTTTTATGAAAGCTTGCAAGAGATAGTTAAAAGTTTATGGTGGTGGAACCTTGCCACCACCATAAACTGGTGGTGGAATGGGCTCCGCAAGTAAACGTCTTGCGCCACTCCGCGGTTGGAGCCTTCTTAATGCACGGTGGATGGAACTCAGCTCTAGAAGCCCTGTGCTGTGGAGTGCCAATGCTTTGCTGGCCCTGCGCTAGCGATCAGAACTTGAATGCTCTCACGATAGTGAAGAAGTGGAGAACTGGGATAATGGTGGCTCGGCGCCGGCGCTACGCCCGCTAGGGTGTGGTGATCGATGGCAGCGGAGGGCGCTTGCGGTGCCATCGGCGGCGAGAGCGCGCCATGCCAATGCGCTGGTTGCGCGATCCGAGTAAGATTCGCTCTAGAGATCCGCTCGCGAGAATGTGGCTGGGGATTTGGCTTCCAGCGAAAAGATTTGCAATTTTCAACATCAAACATAGCTCCGATGACCGGTAACAGCATGCGCAGCAGCAACGATCTCGCCAAGGGGGATCCCGGCGAGCTCGTGGAGAAGATCCGCCTGGCAGCGTGGGCCATGGCAGTCTCTGTGCGAGAGATTATCCGGAAGCTCCAGGAGGAAGGGAACCCCGTTTGCTGCATGATCACGGACACCTTCAACGGATTCACCCAGGATCTGGCGGACGAATTCGGTATCCCCAGGGCGGTGTTCTGGACCTCCAACGCGATCAACGACATTTATCACCTCTTCCTGCCGGAGCTCATCTCCAAAGGATTCGTGCCAGTCGCGAATAAGTTCTCCCTCCCCTGTTTTTGGGGTTCTAAGGAAACTCCCCCTTCTTCGAGCCAGGAAAACGGACGAGCTCATCACATTCCTGCCTGGCTGCCCGCCAATGCCCGCCACAGATCTGCCTCTATCCTTCTACTACGATCACCCAATCCTGGGCATGGTCTGCGACGGCGCGTCGCGGTTCGCGGAGGCGATATTCGCTCTGTGCAACACCTACGAGGAGCTGGAGCCACACGCAGTGGCGACGCTGCGCAGCGAGATGAAATCCACCTACTTCCCCATCGGCCCGTGCCTCTCCCCGGCATTCTTCGCGGGGGACTCGACAGCGGTGGAGCGATCCAGCGAGCTCCTGTCTCCCGAGGATCTGGCGTGCCTGGAGTGGCTCGACACACAGAAGGAATCCTCCGTGATCTACGTCTCCTTCGGCAGCGTGGCCACCATGTCCGTGGAGCAATTCCAGGAGCTCGCCAGGGGCCTGGAGCGCAGCAACCAGCCATTCGTGCTGGTGCTGCGCAAGACCCTCGTCGCGGATCCCTCGGTGCACGATTTCTTCGAGGGATTGAAGCAGCGGATCGGCGAGCGCGGGATCGTGATCTCGTTGGCGCCGCACGTCTTGCTCCACCCGGCGGTGGGAGGATTCCTGACGCACTGCGGATGGAACACGACCGTGGAGGGGATCTGCGAGGCCGTGCCGATGCTCGCCTGGCCTTGCATGGCGGAGCAAAACGTGAACTGCAAGGAGCTTGTGGAGCACTGGAAGCTGGCGATCCCGGTCCAGGATGATCGGGATAAAAGCTCCGTGATCTCGGTCTCGAGCGAGAGGCTGGCGGATCTAGTGGCGAGGCTGATGAGAGGCGACGAGGGTCGCGAGATGCGAGCCCGGGCTCGGGGATTCCGCAAGGCTACTGCGGCTGCCATAGCCGAGGGAGGATCCTCGGACAGGAACCTCAAGGCCTTCGCCCAAGCTCTGAGAGATCTGTGATCTCTTGGACGCGACAATTAGAATCAATCAATGGGTTAGTGAGATTGAAAGTTTTAATAAGCCAATTTGTGCTGCCTCTATGCGGTCTTTCACTCCCTCTTTTCCATGTGTTTTTTAGATGGAGAGCATAACTTAAGTACTTGGACATGTTTTTGGAACAGATTCTTGGGGTTGGGTTTCCAAAAACCATGTTGCCAATGCACAAAACTGTGCCGGAGTGTCGAACTGTGGTCGCACGGTGGCTGGCAATAACAAATAGAAGAAGAAAGAGATACATTCCCAAGAGCTTGTATAAAAATAGGTCCTCCCCTTGTATCATGGTTTCCAGTGCCCCAGTATAGCATTGTTGCACTCCAATCTTTGAGGCTCCAAAGATTTATAGTTTGACCGAGCAGTATAGCTTGACAATCACTGCCACCAGGGGGGAGGCGCTTCTAGCTGTAAGAGTTGCTTGATCAACAGTTGGAAAGGGATCATATCAAATGTTCCACAAATCCAGTTAGCAATGTCTTGTTTCGTCCCAACCTTGTGCGTTCCAGAGGATGCACAAAGTGACAAGGTGGTCTAGGGATCGCTGTTTTCGAAAGCTGGTGCGTTTGGAAAAATAAATAAAATTATTCTCCAACAAGGATCAAGAAATCTTGTATGCTTTGACCTTGTGCCACCCAAGCAGGGGCGAACTATCGAACTCATTGAGACTGATCCAACAGCTCGACTTGGAAATCGCAGAAGTGTCATCCAGTCAGGCCTTGAGCATTGATCTTGCCCGCATCCACAACCTGCAGAAGCCTTGGGCAAGAGAGCCAAGCGGGAAAAGACATGTTGTTGCTGTTAAACTCACTCTCAGACACTCACAAAACTCTTGGGGCCATTGGATTTCCCAGCTGGCCACAAGAACCACAAGAAACCCCATGGCAAGGGCGTCGGGAACATGTTGTAGCCCCATATGCCTCACAAGGGGATTCCCCACATGCCAAGGACAGTAATAAACTCAAGAAATAAAGATCACTATTGCTATTGGTTTGTCCAGTATCTTCATGAAGATACTTATTGAAAAGGAAGTCTCCACCGAAAACATGATAGACAAGGATGACTCTATGACAGTCGACTGGGCTCATGTCATAGAGAGTGTATATCTCAACACAACATACACACTTGCTTTTTTCACAAAACAGCTCTTAGGAACTTAGTATCTTAAGAACTGCCTCAACTCCTCTGGATGCCCACAAAACCCTCAAGTGTCATTGCTCTTGCGGGGGACAACACCTGCTTGCAAGCTGGGATCTTTGGCTATGGTGGAGAGTATTCTACTGGATCTGGCATCGCACTTCTCACCCCAAGACTGCCTTCCGGGAAAACATTCGAGTGACAATACCTTTCTTGTTTGGATTCAAACTTGGCCTGCTAATCGACAAACGTGAAAGAAAACACAAGGAAAAGACACAGGCCGCCGTGTCCAAAGTTTCTCACTGATAAGTAGCAATTGATTCAGAAACATTTATGAAAATTACCACGTTATGAATAGTGTTTTAACCTATGCAAATGCCCATACCAGCCGCGTCCAAAACGTTCGGAACAAATCAAACGCGGCGTGCGACGCGGACAGCGGCCTTGCGTTGACCATGTCGCTATTGGCCAATACAACCCTTACAAATATCTCCTCTTCCACTCTCAAAAGATCGATCGCTTCTGATCAAGAGCAAGACCACCATGGCCTACACTTACACCCCGCAAGGCCATCCAACGCAGCAGTATCAAGGACAGCAGCAAGGATTCACCAGCGAAGGCCATCCCGTTGCCCCTCCTGCTGCTTATCCCCAGCCTCCGCCTGGTAATTATTATGGACCTGGAGTGGCAACCATGGCACCCCCGAATTCTGGCCTCTGGACAACGGGCCTCTGTGGATGCACTGAGGACTGCCCCTCTTGTAAGTTTTTTTTTTTTTCGTGAAAAAGAGTTCTTTTTGTGCAACTTGCATGATTGACTGAGTGATCTCTTTAAATCTGCTTTCTGTTCTTTGATCCTAGATCTGGTTTGTAGCAGACTTCCAGATAGATAAGATATCCGTTCGACATTTCTTAAAATTTATTTGATCAATCCTCTCCATCTGGTGTAACCACAGGCTGGTGTGCGTTGTGCTGCCCCTGCGTTCTTGTTGGGCGCATGGCCAACATTCTGGATCAAGGCATGACCTGTGAGTATTCAACTTTGAGATAAACTATATCCCAAACGTTTTTTTTTTTTTTTGATGTTCCACTCACGATTCTGCTTGGATTTGTGATCCAATGTTGTAGCTGTCTTCACCGGAGCCGCCATCTTTTGCATCGTGCAGTGGTTCACCGGCTGTGGCTGCCTCTACAGCTGCCTGTACCGTGCAAAGCTGCGCCACAAGTACGGACTCCCCGAGGAGCCCTGCAACGACATCTGCACCGACTGCTGGTGCAACTGCTGCTCCATTGCCCAGGCTTACAGGGAGCTCAGGAACCGCAACATCAACCCGGCTCTGGGTATGATTTCTGGGGCCTTGGTGATCTTTGTTTCCTGATTTCTGAAAATGGAGATTTTTCAGGGTACGAGTTTGCGAGGGCGGTGTACGAGCAGCCACCTCAAGTGCAGGAGATGCGCAAAATGTGAGCTACGGAAATTAGTTCTTAAAATCTTCAACCTGAAAATGCTTCTTCGGGGCTTTTCAAGAATGCCATGTTGCATACGTTACCTCCGGATTTCTTCCTTGTGCCATTGGAAAATAATACAAGCCCAAGTTTGTGAAAATTTCTAAACATCTCATCTAGAATTATTTAATGTCCTGGGGCGTTTCAAGAATGCCATGTTGCATACGTTACCTCCGGATTTCTTCCTCGTGACATTGGAAAATAATACAAGCCCAAGTTCGTAGAAATTTCTGAAGATCTCATCTAGTATTATTTAATGTCCTAAAACAATGTAAATATGAGCTATCCTCTTATGGCGGACGAGCAGCGCCTTCACGTAGCGGTGCTCCCAACCACCGGCTCCGGCCACATCAATCCCATGCTCGAGCTCTGCCGCCGCCTCGTCCCGCTAGGATTCCAGGTAAGCTTCGTCTATCCCAGCAATCTATGCCCCAAGCTGGAGTCGAGCCTTCGACACGATGATCTTCACTTCCAAGTGGTGCCAAGCCCAGCCTCGGACAAGCCTTTGCTCATGGATCCCGCGTTGCAAGAGGACGTGAGACCGGTTCTAGAGGCCCTCCGTCCACCAGTGAAGTGCCTTATCGCTGATATGTTTTTAGGCTGGTCACAGGACGTGGCCGACAGCCTGGGGATTCCACGAGTTGCCTTCATTCCCAGTGACTCAGTCATCGAAGCGATGTGCTACCATATTCCAGAGCTTGTCTCCAGGGGTTTCATTCCTGGCCATGTTCCTGCCAATGGTGAGAAGAAGAAGAAACTTTACAATTGCTTCATACCGATCGACGAATATGTGTTGTTGTCTCAGCCGATCCAAATCCGGACGCTTTGATCGACTTCATCCCTGGTCTCGAGCCTTTTACAAGAGAGTTGCTCCCTCTTGCCTTCCAGCACGGGGGACCCATTGTGACCACTGTGGGAGTTGCAGCCAGACGAACAAAGGATGCGGTTTGCATTGTCGTCAACACGATTGAGGAGTTGGATCAGGAAGTTGTGAATGGACGGAGGTTGCTATTCTCCAGTTATTTACCAGTCGGACCTCTGGTACCTGCGGAGCTTCTGCAAGAACAGCACCCGATCACTCTCAGTTCTCCAAATGACACTAGCATGATCTGGCTAGACAAACAAGCTTACCGCTCGGTTCTCTATATCGCTTTTGGCAGTGTTGTTACTCTGCCAGCCGACCAAGTGGAGAAGATTGCAAGAGCTGTAAAAGCCACTCGTCAGCCAGTCTTGTGGGCGATCAGGAGGAACTTTGCAAAAGACGTACCTGAGAACTTTTATGAAAGCTTGCAAGAGATAGTTGGGGCGCAAGCCTGCCTGGTGGTGGAATGGGCTCCACAAGTAAACGTCTTGCGCCACTCCGCGGTTGGAGCCTTCTTAATGCACGGTGGATGGAACTCAGCTCTAGAAGCCCTGTGCTGTGGAGTACCAATGCTTTGCTGGCCCTGCGGTAACGATCAGAACTTGAATGCTCTCACGATAGTGAAGAAGTGGAGAATTGGGATAATGGTGGCTCATGGACCCAAAGACGATGTGAGAAGCGAAGACTTGGGAAACGTTATAGATGCTGTGATGAACGGCGAGGAAGGGAGGAGGATGAGGAGCAGAGCTCAAGAACTTAAAAAGATCGTGAGGGCAGGTACTTGCCTGGAGAGAAATCTTCGACAGCTCAAGGATGTGATCATAGCCGCGTCTCAATAGGGGCCTGCAATACCATCTGGATTCATACTTGATCAAAGAGACAAAGTTCACGAGAAGAACTAAAATGATGGAGAAGTTGAAAACAATTGTGCCAGAGAAGGTATTTGCCTCGATAATCTTTACCTCGAGACCCTAGGCTATTGTCCCCGAAGTTCGAATCGTTCACGAGCTTTGGCCGCTTCGTTAACTCGTCGACTTCCACCTTGAGACCATCCAGAACGTCGACAGCCTTTTTGATCTCGAGGTTTGCGAGCTCCTGTACGTTTCGTTCGTTCCCTTCTGTAAGATTCCTGATGGCCCATTCCCTGAGATAAGGATTGTCTTCATCAAGAGCAAGCCTCCGTTCTCTCGAACTCGGTCTTGGACACGGGGCCGAGAGGGACACAAGAGGGATACATTCCAGGGGAATTTACATCGAAGACGCGCGCAGGGTTAACAGGCTTTTGGCGCCATCCTCGGCAAATGCCGCGATCATGATGTTGCTAGAGAAGACGTTGCGCAGCCGGACTCTATCCAACGATCGATCGACTGCCAAGAATACCGGCGATGATCCATGAAAGAAAGTTAAAATTCAAAATCTAAAGCCATTCATTTAGCTGGAAACTGGACGCTGGAGCAAGAGCATCCACGAAAGCCGCTGGCACTACCATCACCAACGAGGATGCCAAGGGAAGAGCTTGAGGCATTACCTACACTTGGAGCTCTACTAGCATTGATGATCATCTCCGGACTGGTCATTGGTGATGTCGAGGGCATTCAAGGTTGGGCCATTCCATAGCAAAAGCAAACCAAAACCAACACAGATCCAGAGAAATGCTCGTCTTCCTTTGACGCTACAAATACCATTCTAGATTCTTCAGCTAGAAACTCTCATGGAATTCTCTTCTTTTGTGAGCCGTTTTGCAGGACATACACCACCTCGTAGTTTCCCAAAGAGATCACAAGAGTTTGCTATGGGAGAAAAGGCTAGAAGGGATTCCAAGTAGGTACTTTATGTCATAGTTTATAAGAACGCCTGTTCCTCCTTTCTTCTCTAGCATCAATGACCTTTTTGTCAACGTTGAGTTCTCTTCAGGGACCAAAACTTAGCATCCTTTGGTTCACTGTGCGTGACTCGAAATCCTTGACGTCCTCGGAGCCGAGTGCTGGAACTGCTATCCGGAAGAACACAAAGGTATGGTAGCGATGAAAACGTTTCCCAGAACTTTTCTCCTTCACCACTGGCGGGAATGTATGCAGTATGGTAGATAAAGCAACTCGTGTCGTGCCATTCCCAGGCTCTCACCAACATAGCAGAATAGTTTCTAGAATAGTTTTAGAAGGCTGACCAGATTGAGATGAAGGAATCTTTGACACATAGATAACTCCATGTTTTCGTCAATCCGTCCTCCCAGAAATGATCCCATCACTTTGAACAACAAAAATGTCGCAATTTCCTTTCTCGGCATTTGCATCACAAGATGTGCTCCAAAACACCAAGTCTCTTTTGTGCTTTATCTTTCACAATGTTTTAGCTTTACTTATGGATCATGCTGCTCGCATATGCAGTGATTATTGCGCTTCATGTTACTGTTGTTTTATCTGCTGATCATCAAAGGAAATTTAAACATAGCAAGATCCCCATTCCTGACAAATGCCACCAAGAAATTCCCTTCCTCTCTCTTTGTTTTTTTAGGGTTCTTATGGAGGAGGCGGTAGCAGCGTTGCGCGAGAAGGATGGCGAGGTATCGGCGGCTCTGCGTGCCGTGGTCGATGGCGCGCGATCCGACCACGGCAGGTCCTGCCTGGCGAAGCTCGGCGCCGTCCCCGCCTTGGTTTCTCGTTCTCGGGTACGTATCGACGACAATCTCCTCCTGCCGCTCCTGCGCGCTCTTCGCAATCTCTGTGCCGGCGAAGCCATGAACCAGGATTCATTTCTCGCCGAGCAAGGGATGGATCTGGCAGTAGCACTGGCATCCAGATTCCAGAAGCGCTTATGTTCTCTTCGCGAGGAGGATCTGGAAGAAGAGGATGGGAAGTTCTGGCTGGATTGCGCAAAGGCGTTGTTCCAGATGCTCGGGAATGTGGCCGGGCGTGGAGAGCAGGCACAGGATTCCATCTGGAAGGCATTCTTTCCAGAGATTTTGCTCGACTTGGCGTGCGTCTCCACGAAAGAGGTGCTCGAGCCGCTGAGCATGGTGGTCTACACATGCTCTAGAGCGAGCCCCGAGCGCCGCCTCCAGCTTGCTCGAGGGAAAGGGAGTCGTCTCTTGGCCATCCTTCTCAGGGATTCTCCAAGCTCTGGTACGTGGAATTCTTCTCTACTCGATCGATCACTTGTATCGTGCATTGTTCTTGTGTAGAGTGGCTAAGCTTGCTCGTGGAAGCGGTGTGCCTCAAAGACGAACACCTCCCACTGGTGTTTGCAAGCCTCGGACCTTCTTCTACGTCGGCTTTCTCGTCCGAGCAGGCCATCCTTCTCGGTGTTTTATACTCCGTCTTGGATGAGAACCAGGGGGCTGTCGCTGCCATGCCATGGAAGTCGATGGAGTTTCTGGCGGACACCATTGAGCAGTCGGCAATGCTCGTGGCTGCCACGTTTATGGACAAAGCGTTGCCTTGGCCTACAGGGTTTCCAATCGCCGACGTCCTCGGATTCAGTCTGTTGCTCACGAGACTCGCCACTACACATGACGACGTCCAGCTCGACGAAGCCAGAGTTGGTCCTTTGGTTGGATTGCTGCTGGAGATGTTACGGGCGCTTGGACCTCCAGAGATGGTGAGGAAAGCTGCCGGAAGTGCATCAACGTCTCCACCGTGCGAAGAAGAGCAGGCTGCTACAATGCCAACACGGCTTCCAGTGCACAACGTCTACAAAGGCTACCGACGTGACATAGTGTCCGTGATCGCAAACATGTCGTTTCATCGGCCCCGTGTCCAAGACCGAGTTCGAGAGGACGGAGGCTTGCTCTTAGTTCTCCAGCAGTGCGTGGTTGATGAAGACAATCCTTATCTCAGGGAATGGGGTCTATGGGCCATCAGGAATCTTACAGAAGGGAACGAACGAAACGTACAGGAGCTCGCAAACCTCGAGATCAAAAAGGCTGTCAACGTTCTGGATGGTCTCAAGGTGGAAGTCGACGAGTTAACGAAGCGGCCAAAGCTCGTGAACGATTCGACCTCCGGGGACAATAGACCATAGCTACGAGGTAAAGATTATCGAGGCAAGTACCTTCTCTCGCACAATTGTTTTCAAGTTCTCCATCATTCTAGTCCTTATCGTGGATTCTTCTCTCAATCCACTCTTTGTGCGTTTCGATCGACTGCGAGATTGCTGCGAGCGAGCGAGCGGGCATGGAGATCGAGAGCTGTCCTCCATTCCATTGCAGTAGTCCATCCCCATCCAAACGGGATCTGTAGCAAGAGCAGTAAGAATTTCATCAGTATCAAAGAGCAGTTCAAGCTGTAGGAGAATAGTGAGGTAACGACTACGTACCACAGAAAAAATAACCCTTGCAGCAGACACTGAAGGATGGATAAGCAATCGATCCCATGCTCACCACAGTTGTCTCTTTGATCAAGTATGAATCCAGATGGTATTGCAGGCCCCTATTGAGACGCGGCTATGATCACATCCTTGAGCTGTCGAAGATTTCTCTCCAGGCAAGTACCTGCCCTCACGATCTTTTTAAGTTCTTGAGCTCTGCTCCTCATCCTCCTCCCTTCCTCGCCGTTCATCACAGCATCTATAACGTTTCCCAAGTCTTCGCTTCTCACATCGTCTTTGGGTCCATGAGCCACCATTATCCCAATTCTCCACTTCTTCACTATCGTGAGAGCATTCAAGTTCTGATCGTTACCGCAGGGCCAGCAAAGCATTGGTACTCCACAGCACAGGGCTTCTAGAGCTGAGTTCCATCCACCGTGCATTAAGAAGGCTCCAACCGCGGAGTGGCGCAAGACGTTTACTTGTGGAGCCCATTCCACCACCAGGCAGGCTTGCGCCCCAACTATCTCTTGCAAGCTTTCATAAAAGTTCTCAGGTACGTCTTTTGCAAAGTTCCTCCTGATCGCCCACAAGACTGGCTGACGAGTGGCTTTTACAGCTCTTGCAATCTTCTCCACTTGGTCGGCTGGCAGAGTAACAACACTGCCAAAAGCGATATAGAGAACCGAGCGGTAAGCTTGTTTGTCTAGCCAGATCATGCTAGTGTCATTTGGAGAACTGAGAGTGATCGGGTGCTGTTCTTGCAGAAGCTCCGCAGGTACCAGAGGTCCGACTGGTAAATAACTGGAGAATAGCAACCTCCGTCCATTCACAACTTCCTGATCCAACTCCTCAATCGTGTTGACGACAATGCAAACCGCATCCTTTGTTCGTCTGGCTGCAACTCCCACAGTGGTCACAATGGGTCCCCCGTGCTGGAAGGCAAGAGGGAGCAACTCTCTTGTAAAAGGCTCGAGACCAGGGATGAAGTCGATCAAAGCGTCCGGATTTGGATCGGCTGAGACAACAACACATATTCGTCGATCGGTATGAAGCAATTGTAAAGTTTCTTCTTCTTCTCACCATTGGCAGGAACATGGCCAGGAATGAAACCCCTGGAGACAAGCTCTGGAATATGGTAGCACATCGCTTCGATGACTGAGTCACTGGGAATGAAGGCAACTCGTGGAATCCCCAGGCTGTCGGCCACGTCCTGTGACCAGCCTAAGAACATATCAGCGATAAGGCACTTTACTGGTGGACGGAGGGCCTCTAGAACCGGTCTCACGTCCTCTTGCAACGCGGGATCCATGAGCAAAAGCTTGTCCGAGGCTGGGGTTGGCACCACTTGGAAGTGAAGATCATCGTGCCGAAGGCTCGACTCCAGCTTGGGGCATAGATTGCTGGGATAGACGAAGCTTACCTGGAATCCTAGCGGGACGAGGCGGCGACAGAGCTCGAGCATGGGATTGATGTGGCCGGAGCCGGTGGTTGGGAGCACCGCTACGTGAAGGCGCTGCTCGTCCGCCATAAGAGGATAGCTCTTCCAGAATATATTCCAGTATATGTTCTTTTTAGGACATTAAATAATTCTAGATGAGATGTTTAGAAATTTGGGCTTCTATTATTTTCCAATGTCACGAGGAAGAAATCCTTCCGATCACGAATGCAACATGGCATTCTTGGAAAGCCCCGAAGAAGCATTTTCAAGTTGAAGATTTTAAAAACTAATTTCCGTAGCTCACATTTTGCGCATCTCCTGCACTTGAGGTGGCTGCTCGTACACCGCCCTCGCAAACTCGTACCCTGAAAAATCACCATCTTCAGAAATCAGGAAACAAAGATCACCAAGGCCCCAGAAATCATACCCAGAGCCGGGTTGATGTTGCGGTTCCTGAGCTCCCTGTAAGCCTGGGCAATGGAGCAGCAGTTGCACCAGCAGTCGGTGCAGATGTCGTTGCAGGGCTCCTCGGGGAGTCCGTACTTGTGGCGCAGCTTTGCACGGTACAGGCAGCTGTAGAGGCAGCCACAGCCGGTGAACCACTGCACGATGCAAAAGATGGCGGCTCCGGTGAAGACAGCTATCACATACAACATTGGATCACAAATCCAAGCAGAAAAGGAAAGAATCGTGAGCGGAACATCAAAAAAACTCAAAGTTGAATACTCACAGGTCATGCCTTGATCCAGAATGTTGGCCATGCGCCCAACAAGAACGCAGGGGCAGCACCACGCACACCAGCCTGTGGTTACACCAGATGGAGAGGATTGATCAAATAAATCTTAAGAAACGTCGGACGGATATCTCATCTATCTGGAAGTTTGCTACAAACCAGATCTAGGATCAAAGAACAGAAAGCAATTTTAAAGAGATCACTCAGTCAATCATCCAAGCTGCATCCAAGCTGCACAAAAAGAGCTCTTTTTCTCGAAAGAAAAAACCTTACAAGAGGGGCAGTCCTCGGTGCATCCACAGAGGCCCGTTGTCCAGAGGCCAGAATTCGGGGGTGCCAAGGTTGCCACTCCGGGTCCATAGTAACTACCAGGCGGAGGCTGGGGATAAGCAGCAGGAGGGGCAACGGGATGGCCTTCGCTGGTGAATCCTTGCTGCTGCCCTTGATGCTGTTGCGTTGGATGGCCTTGTGGGGTGTAAGTGTAGGCCATGGTGGTGTTGCTCTTGATCAGGAGCGACCGATCTTAACATTCGAGGGTTTTTTTGCAAGGGCGACATTTTCAAAGCAAGGACGCCGCACGCCGCACGTCGCACGTCGCACGTCGCGTTTGCTCTTAGGAACTTGCCTCTAGCCCGCGAGACCATAACTTCGTGGTTGCATAATATGCTTCTCAGGCCTCATTGCTCTTGCCGGGGACAATACCTCCTTACAAGCTGGGATCTTTGGCTATGCACACCATCTAGTGTTGTTAATGGTGTCGTTTACAAGCTTGTCCTTCTCTTTCACTGATCCTGAGCCAACCCTCGAGGTCTTCTACATCCCAGCATCGATCCCAAGACTGCCTTTGGGTTGACTCGTAAACTTGGTAGCTATTGGACAAACGTGAAAGAAAACTTGAGGAAAAGACAGTGTCCAAAATAGCTGTTTTGTGATCTGATCTTGTGAACGATGGAACTAATTGCGACTGTTCCACGTGTCACCAGCCCGACATCTCGACCTGGAACCTGCGAAAGACTGCTAAGGCACGGCTGTCAAACTCACTCTTAGATACTCACAGGGCCACTGGATTTCCCCAGCTGGCCGCAAGAACCACAAGAAACCACATGGCCACCATCAATTGATACCATTTGTAAACTTTTCACATCTTGGCTGCTTGTAGCAAAAAACGCTTTAAGGGTAAACAAAAACTTTGTCACGTATTCAGAACAAATGTCACAAAAAACTAAGAAGACAAGAGGAAGTAGTCTCCTCGGGAAAGGCTCAAGGCCGGGAATGAAGTCGATCAAAGTTTGATGGTCAGGGTTGCATGAAAGAGAGGAAAGAACGCACAGAGGTATGCCTCCTTTCTTTTCAAACTTTTGTTCTTACCACTGCGGGAGCTCTGGGATATCATTTGGCGGGCTTGGAGAGAATGGCGATCCCGGCGTGGGCGTCGGTGTCCCCGGGCTTTGTTTTGGAGAGAATGGCGATCCCGGCGTGGGCGTCGGTGTCCCCGGGCTTTGTTTTGGAGAGAATGGCGATCCCGGCGTGGGCGTCGGTGTCCCCGGAGGAGCAGCAGCACCATCGGCGCCTCACCTTGCTGCTGCGCAGCAAGCAGAGGGTCCTGAAGGCGCCCCTGGCCGCCATGGATGAGCAGGAGCGGCAGCTTCAGTCGCGGCTGGAGGGACTCCAGAGAATGCCGCCACCCCAGCACCGGCTGCTGCAGAAGATCGTCCGCACGGCAATCGTGGCCGAGGTCGCGCGGGCCTCTCCGGCGGAGAAGCCAGAGGGCGTTCGGCAAAGGAGCCACGACTATGTTAAAATGGGTATGGTTTTTTCCTTCGCTCTTTCTCTTTGCGATGTAGTGTTTGAGCTGACGCTATCTCGGTTTGCACTGACGAAGAAGTGTCGCCAGATGGAGTTTGGATCTAGAAGCTGTTTCTAAAGGTAACGATTCTTCTTTCTTTCTTATCATGTTCTGACATTGGCAAAATTTCCTTGAAGTAATTCCTCGGATGTGCAGCGGTGGAGCCGCCAATTCTTCACAAAGATTGGATCATTCATCCGATACAGGTAGCCAATCCACAATTGTGTATCGAACACAAAGCTTTGTGTTGCGTAGATAATCGACACTCGGGATCCGGTACTGCTGCTCTTAGGGCCGTCTACTCAGTTCTTTCCAAAGGAACATGTGTTTCCGCAAGCTCTGTGAAAGCAATCAATCAAACTCTTCGATTTGCAGGAATGCCATCCTTTCTATGCAACATATAGTGACAGCCGGACTTAAACCAGTTGTGGAGGTGAGCTTTGGGATTCTTTCTCTGAAACCAAATTAAATCTAGGTTCGTCAATCCCAAGGAGTTCAAAGAACTCTCCACTCTCGACAGTCTTCAGTTTCAACATTTTAGGTGGAGTTGCAGTATGTTGATTGTCGTAAATTTCACTCTTTTCCTCAGTAACAAACTCTGTCTGTCTGTCTGTCTCTCTCTCTCTCTCCATTCCTTGCTTTTTTGCCTCGCTCGGTCGCAATGCTGACAAGCTGGCCGACTCCTCTCTGGTCGAGAACCTGAGATCAGTCTCATGAAACTAGAATGGATATGTAAAATGCCTTGCATAGACAGACACGTTGTCCTGGCGATATGTAAACGTCATTTGCGTCAAGTAGTTGGTCCCGAAAGAGAAGAACTCCGCGATCTATCAAAGAATCCTCAAGAAAGATTACGTGTGGAATACAGACTCCTAAGAACTCTTTTTATAGGGATGTCAATTTGCACGAAGAACTTTGACTTGGTCAGCGGTTTATAAGGTGATGAGCTTTTCCAGAAAAGAAGAACGATGAAAAGACTGACACAAGGTACTAGTATTGTATGGAAACCTGTGCCTGCTCTCCACGCAATCCAGCCACTACTGCATAAGCGCTTCTGAGTGCTACTGCTCGGCAAGGAACGAATCCTGGTTCATCGCAGAAATTGCGAACAGCGCGCAGGAACTCGATACGTACCCGAGAACGCGAAAACAAGGCGACGGCGCCGAGCCTTGCCAGGGAGGACCTTCCGTGGCCGGATCGAGCGCCATCACCCAAGGCACGCAGGGCCGCCATCCTCTTGGCGCAACACGCCTTCTATGGAATCGTACAAGTCGTGTTAAACACCAGTCGCTCGATCTCTTCTGATATATTGCATCAGTGGTAAGGAGAAGGAAAGATCTTGGAAACGTTTTCATTGCTTCATACCTTTGTGTTCTTCGCTTTCATATCGGCGTTGAGCCTTTTTGATTTGGAGTAGCACCGAGGAGCTAAGGCCTCCTTTGGTCCTGGAAGAGAAGACTCGATGAGAAGCAAAAGCTCAGACAAACTGTGACACAAAGGTACCTGCTTGGAGTTCCTTTCTCAGTCGTCAAACTATTGGAATTATATATCCTGCAAAACAGCTTGCCAAAGAACAACCGTTTTCACAGAATGGAGCTAGAATTGAACGGTTGATGAACGGTTGATTTGCAGCAGATCTCTGAGCTTCACGAGAATTTCTAGTTGACGAACCTAGAATGGTACCTACAGTTCGCAGTGTCAAAGTAGCAACATGAGCACTGCTCGGGATTTGGACGACGGTTCCTGCGTTGCTTTGGGGACTCGTTTCTTCGATTTTTCTCTGTAGAAGTTTCTCTAGAAATGTGAAGTAAAACTGAAGAGAGTACCTGCAAAGCCGAGGGCTTTGACATGGAATGGCCCAACCTTGAACTCCCTCCACATCCAGCACGTCATCACCAAAGCAATGGCCATCATACCCATCCCACCAAAGACTACTCCAGAGATGACCATCAAAGCCAGTAGAGCGCCAAGAACATGCAGCGGCTCAAGCTCTTCCCTTGGCATCTCCCTCGATGGCTGCTTCGATCGAGCCTCCAGCTTTGGCAATCTAAAAGCCCTAGGTAGTATAAATGAACCGCTTAGATTTGAATTTGTACCTTTGGTGGCGGCGTTCCTTTCTCCGCTTGTTGTCAAACAAATGCCGCTTCCACCCTGGGAATCAAGGCTCTGGAAAGAACCGAGATTAAAAAGTAGAATTTACAGCTTCGTTCGTGTTCCGGAGATTATGATCGAAATTTCGCAAAAAATGTCCAAGAATCCTCGAGAATCTGAAGAAAGAAAAAAAATTATCAGGAAATCATCAAGGAAGAAACCCTTCGTCGCCATCATCATCATCACATTCCACCATCGCTCACACTCTCTCGTCTCTATTGTGCTCTATAGTTGCTGCTCTCTCTCTCGCATCGCTCACTCTCTCGTCTCTATCGCGCGCTCCATAATCGCCGCTCTCTCTTTGCCAACCTAAGAGGGGCGAGACGTTGCTTGAATGTAGCATACTTACGTATATTCTAGTATGTGGCATGGAAACGCAAGTCCTGGGCACCAGGAATCTCCATGAAGCCCTCGATCGCCTTGCGCAGTCCAACGCCGCGCTGGTTCCGGCGTCCTATGGTGCTCTTCTCAAAGAATGCGGCAATGCCAGGGAGCTGGCGCTGGGCAAGCTCGTCCACTCTCACATCGCCAAGCACGGATCATCCGACAGAGACACATTCCTGGGGAATTTCTTGGTTCACATGTATGGGCGGTGTGGAAGCATCGACGACGCGCGCAGGGTCTTTGATAGAATCCGGCTGCGCAACGTCTTCTCTAGCAACATCATGATCGCGGCATTTGCCGAGAATGGGGATCTTGCTAGCGCGAAGAACTTGTTCGATCGATCGACCGTGAAGAACACCGTGACATGGAACGCAATGATCAATGCGTACGTGGGCGCTGGCGCGATGGAAGAAGCTAAAGATCTGTTCAAGGCGATGCCAGTGAGAGACGTCGTTTCGTGGAGCGCGATGATCAAAGCAAATGCCGGGAGAGGGGATTTGGAGATGGCGATTCTTCTGTTCAAGCTCATGGATCTAGATGGAGTGCGGCCGAATCGCGTGACATTCATGTGTGTGCTCGAAGTGTGCGCTGATCTAGAGGCAATCACGCTGGGGATCACGATCCACGAGCTCATCCGGGAGGCAGGGCTGGAATCCGAGACGAAGATCGCGAACACGCTCATCCACATGTATGGGAGCTGCGGGAACATCCAGAAAGCCAGCGAGATCTTCGAATCGATGCCACACAAATCCACAGTCTCGTGGAATTCCATCGTCTCGGCCTATGCCTGGAGTGGAGATCTCGATCAAGCCAAGCGCCTGTTCGATCGGATGCCCCAGCGCGACGTGGTGTCGTGGAATTCGATGCTCGTGGCGTATTCCCAGAACGGGCATGGCGATCGAGCTCTGGAGCTTTTCTTGGCGATGGATCCCTCGCTGCAAAACGAGGTCACGTTCGTAATCGCGGCGGATGCCTGCGCGAGCCAGGCAGCGCTGGAAGAGGGCATCGCGATCCACTCGCGAGCATCGGCTCGGGGATTCGATGCCGACATCCGCGTCGCGAATGCGCTGCTCAATCTCTACGCGAAATGCGGCACGATCGATCGCGCGAAAGATCTCTTCGAGAGGATGATCGAGAGGGACGCTGTCTCGTGGACTGCGATGACCACAGCGTTTAGCCAGAGCGGGCAAGCATCAGAGGCACTGCTGATGATCCAGGCGATGGATCTCGAGGGTGTGAAGCTGGATGGATTCACCTACGTGACGGCGCTGGACGCGTGTGCGATCATCACTCCCCCGGCGGTGGGCGAGGGGCGATCGATCCGATCGAGGCCGTGTTCTACGGCTATGGCGGCGACACCCTTGTGGCCAAAGCGCTCGTCACGCTCCTGGGCAAATCCGGGAGCGTGGAGGGCGCCAAGAGCGCCTTCGATCGAATTCGCTCCAAGGACGCCGTGTCGCTCAACAGCATGATCGCGATCGATCCGGCGAGGCGGCGGTGGAGGCGCTGCGATCCATGGCGGCGGAGGGCGTGAGCCCCGATTCCATAACATTCATGAGCGCGCTCTCGGCGTGTAGCCACTCGGGACTGCTGGATCTGGCCTGGGAGCTCTTCCCGTGCATCGCTGGAGACTATGGGATCGCTCCAGCGATGGATCACTACGTGAGCTTGCTGGATCTGCTGGCTAGAGCTGGGAGGATTGACGAGGCCGCGGATTTGATCGCCCATATGCCATTTGAGCCGCCGGCGCTGGCGTGGACGATACTGCTGGGCGCCTACAATGCGATGGGGCAGCAGGGATCCAATGCCGTGGAGCGATCGATGGAGCTAGAGCCCGAGAACTCGGCACACTATGTCCTTCTCTCCAATCTCAGGAGCCCTAAAAACAGGGGTAGGGTTTTATTTAAAGTTTGGCATGTACAAATTCAAATCTAAGCCGTTCGTTTACTACCTAGGGTTTCTAGACGCTGGAAGGAGCATCGACGAAAGCCGCCGCCATTTGCCATCGAGGACGATGCCAAGGGAAGAGCTTGAGCCACTGCATGTTCTTGCTGCTCTACTGGCTTTGATGGTCATCTTTGGAGTAGTCTTTGGCCATTGCTTTGGTGACGGCTGTGATCATCCCCTGCTGGATGTGGAAGGAGTTCAAGGTTGGGCCATTCCATGTCAAAGCCCTCGGCTTTGCAGGTACTCTCTCAGTTTTACTTCACATTTCTAGAGAAACTTCTACAGAGCAAAATCGAAGAAACGAGCCCCCAAAGGAACGCAGGACCCGTCGTCCAGATCCAGAGCAGTGCTCATGTTGCTACTTTGACACTGCGAACTGTAGGTACCATTCTAGATTCGTCAACTAGAAATTCTTGTGAAGCTCAGAGATCTGCTACAACCGTTCAATTCTACCTCCATTCTGTGAAAACTGCCATTCTTTGGCAAGCTGTTTTGCAGGATATATAATTCCAATAGTTTGACGACTGAGAAAGGAACTCCAAGCAGGTACCTTTGTGTCACAGTTTGTATGAGCTTTTGCTTCTCATGGAGTCTTCTCTTCCAGGACCAAAGGAGGACTTAGCTCCTCGGTGCTACTCCAAATAAAAAAGGCTCAACGCCGATATGAAAGTGAAGAACAAAGGCATGAAGCAATGAAAACGTTTCCAAGATCTTTCCTTCTCCTTACCACTGATGCAATATATCAGAAGAGATCGAGCGACTGGTGTTTAACACGACTTGTGCGATTCCATAGAAGGCGCGTTGCGCCAAGAGGATGGCGGCCCTGCGTGCCTTGGGTGATGGCGCTTGATCCGGCCACGGAAGGTCCTCCCTGGCAAGGCTCAGTGCCGTCGCATTGCTTTCGCGTTCTCAGGTACTTATCGAGTTCCTGCGCGCTGTTCGCAATTTCTGCGATGAACCAGGATTTGTTCCTTGCCGAGCAGTAGCACTCAGAAGCGCTTATGCAGCAGTGGTGGAGAGCAGGCACAGGTTTCCATCTGGAAGTCGGATCACAATACTGTTAGAACTAAGCTGAACATGCACAGAACCAGGGCAGGTAGCTCACTGGTAAAGCACCTGGCGCCGGTGTAGGAGGTCCTGGGTTCAATCCCCGGCCTATCCAGATCCATTTTCCAACAAATACTGGAGTCAAGTTCGGCTGTTGCTCTACGTAGCATAGAGGCGTTCAGGCAAATCGAAGAGATTGGCTTTCACAGAGCTTGCGGAAACACACGGATCTTTGGAAAGAACTGAGTAGATGGCCGTAAGAGCAGCAGCACCGGATTATCTACGCAACACAAAGCTTTGTGTTCGATACACAATTGTGGATTGGCTACCTATATCGGATGAATGATCCAATTTTTGCGAAGAACTGGCAGGAATTACTTTGCACAAACTTGAGAAACTTTGCCAACATGATAAGAAAGAAAGAAGAATTGCTACCTTTAGAAACAACTTCTAGATCCAAACTCCATCTGGCGATTCTTTGTCGGTTCAAACCAAGATAGCGTCAGCTCAAACACTCGAAAGAGCGAAGGAAAAAACCGTACCCCATTTAACATAGTCCTGGCTCCTTTTGGCTTCTCCACGGGAGAAGCCCGCGCGACCTCGGCCACAATCGCCGTGCGGACGAGCAGCCGGTGCTGGGGTGGAGCCCCTGCAGACGCAACTGGAGCTGCCGCTCCTGCTCATCCATGGCGGCCAGGGGTGCCTTCAGGACCCTCTGCTTGCCGCGAGCCTGGGAATCCCACGGGGTTATATGCCTGCCAGTGGTAAGGAGAAAAGTTTTGGTTCTGAGAAGAAAGGAGGATGCTTTACTCGTACCTCTGCGCGTTCTTTCCTCTCTTTCAGGCAACCCCGACCACCAAACTCTGATCGACTTCATTCATTCCACAACTAAAGTGTGCTCTCCAACTTTTTCTTGCAGGATTTCGAAGAAGTTTTCAGGTGCGTCGCTTGCAAAGTTTCGTCTGATCGCCCACAAGACTGGCTGGTGAGTGGCTTGCACAGTTTTAGCGATCTTCTCCACTTGATCAGCCGGGAGGGAGATGACGCTTCCGGAGGTGATGTAGAGAACCAAGCGGTGAGGTTGTTTGTCCAACCAGCTGATACTGATGTCTTCTTCTGGAGAACTGATAGTTTCGTGCTCTTGCAGAAGCGCCTGAGGTATAAGTGGTCCGACTGGCAGATAGTTGAGAAACTCTTTCCTGCGCGAAGTCACAAGTTCGTGATCCAGCTCCTCGATGGAGTTGACGAGAACACACGCAGCTTCCTTTGTTTGCTTTGCAGCAGCTCCCAGAAGAAGCACAACAGGACCGCCGCGCTGGAAGCCAAGAGGAAGCAGTCTCCTCGGGAAAGGCTCGAGGCCGGGGGCTCCACAAGTGCCTGTCTTGCGCCAGTCAGCAGTTGGAGCCTTCTTAACGCACTGTGGATGGAACTCGGTGCTAGAGGCCCTGCTCTATGGAGTACCGACACTTTGCTGGCCGTGCGCCTACGAGCAGAACTCGAATGCTGATATAATGACGGAGAAGTGGAAGCTGGGGTGAAGTTGGCTGATGGACCCGACGATGGTGTCAAATGCGAAGACTTGGAGAAGATCATAGATGCTGTAATGAATGGCGAAGAAGGAAAAACAATGAGACGCAGAGCCGAAGCTCTCAAGGAGATTGTGAGGAAAAGTGCCTCGAGAAAAACATTCGGCAACTCAAGAACGTGATTGTAGCCGCTTCTCAGTAGACAATCTCCAAGCATCGCTGCTCTGGAGAAGCTCCACTCACTTTAACGAAAGTCAGGAAAAAGAAGAGAGAAAAGAAAAAAGAAAATAAATACCTTTGAGAGGAGCTTCCACATCGATCACTGATCTCGAAGCAGAAACATCGCTGGTCTGGAGAAGAAGCTCCACCCGTGAAAAATAAAAAATCTAGCACTTTCTACAGAGCTCTCTTACCTTGAAGATTAAGATCGATGAAGAAATCTCCAAACGAACTTCGAAAAGGTGGAACCAAAGTTAGCGAGATCACACACACACACACAGATGCATACCTTGAGAACAGCTTCCACATCCATTTGGCAATGCCTTGGCAAACGCAACGAATAATCAATGAATCGAAAGAACCACTACACTTACCCGGATTTTCGCCAAAGATCTTCGGTCGCCGCCCGGCGCTGCTTTTTCTCGCGTCCACCCCTTGAATCCATGGCCGCTCCCCTCCTTGGATCCATGGCGCTCCCCCCAAAAACCAAACTTTAAATCAAACCCTACCCCTGTTTTTAGGGCTCCTGAGATTGGAGAGAAGGACATAGTGTGCCGAGTTCTCGGGCTCTAGCTCCATCGATCGCTCCACGGCATTGGACTGCTGCCCCATCGCATTGTAAGCGCCCAGTAGTATCGTCCACGCCAGCACCGGCGGCTCAAATGGCATATGGGCGATCAAATCCGCGGCCTCGTCAATCCTCCCAGCTCTAGCCAGCAGATCCAGCAAGCTCACGTAGTGATCCATCGCTGGAGCGATCCCATAGTCTCCAGCGATGCACGGGAAGAGCCCCCAGGCCAGATCCAGTAGTCCCGAGTGGCTACACGCCGAGAGCGCGCTCATGAATGTGATGGAATCGGGGCTCACGCCCTCCGCCGCCATGGATCGCAACGCCTCCACCGCCGCCTCGCCGGATCCATTCGCGGCGTAGATCGCGATCATGCTGTTGAGCGACACGGCGTCCTTGGAGCGAATTCGATCGAAGGCGCTCTTGGCGCCCTCCACGCTCCCGGATTTGCCCAGGAGCGTGACGAGGGCGTTGGCCACAAGGGTGTCGCCGCCATAGCCGTAGAACACGATGCTCGCGAGTGGATTGCGATGCCCTCTTCCAGCGCTGCCTGGCTCGCGCAGGCATCCGCCGCGATCACGAATGTGAATCCATCCAGCTTCACACCCTCGAGATCCATCGCCTGGATCATCAGCAGTGCCTCTGACGCTTGCCCGCTCGGGGCGTAGATCGCGATCATGCTGTTGAGCGACACGGCGTCCTTGGAGCGAATTCGATCGAAGGCGCTCTTGGCGCCCTCCACGCTCCCGGATTTGCCCAGGAGCGTGACGAGGGCGTTGGCCACAAGGGTGTCGCCGCCATAGCCGTAGAACCCGATGCTCGCGAGTGGATTGCGATGCCCTCTTCCAGCGCTGCCTGGCTCGCGCAGGCATCCGCCGCGATCACGAATGTGACCTCGTTTTGCAGCGAGGGATCCATCGCCAAGAACAGCTCCAGAGCTCGATCGCCATGCCCGTTCTGGAAATACGCCACGAGCATCGAATTCCACGACACCACGTCGCGCTGGGCATCCGATCGAACAGGCGCTGGGCTTGATCGAGATCTCCACTCCAGGCATAGGCCGAGACGATGGAATTCCACGAGACTGTGGATTTGTGTGGCATCAATTCGAAGATCTCGCTGGCTTTCTGGATGCTCCCGCAGCTCCCATACATGTGGATGAGCGTGTTCGCGATCTTCGTCTCGGATTCCAGCCCTGCCTCCCGGATGAGCTCGTGGATCGTGATCCCCAGCGTGATTGCCTCTAGATCAGCGCACACCTCGAGCACACACATGAATGCCACGCGATTCGGCCGCACTCCATCTAGATCCATGAGCTTGAACAGAAGAATCGCCATCTCCAAATCCCCTCTCCCGGCATTTGCTTTGATCATCGCGCTCCACGAAACGACGTCTCTCACTGGCATCGCCTTGAACAGATCTTTAGCTTCTTCCATCGCGCCAGCGCCCACGTACGCATTGATCATTGCGTTCCATGTCACGGTGTTCTTCACGGTCGATCGATCGAACAGGTTCTTCGCGCTAGCAAGATCCCCATTCTCGGTAAATGCCGCGATCATGATGTTGCTAGAGAAGACGTTGCGCAGCCGGATTCTATCAAAGACCCTGCGCGCGTCGTCGATGCTTCCACACCGCCCATACATGTGAACCAAGAAATTCCCCAGGAATGTGTCTCTGTCGGATGATCCGTGCTTGGCGATGTGAGAGTGGACGAGCTTGCCCAGCGCCAGCTCCCTGGCATTGCCACATTCTTTGAGAAGAGCACCATAGGACGCCGGATCCAGCGCGGCGTCGGACTGCGCAAGGCGATCGAGGGCTTCGTGGAGATTCCTGGTGCCCAGGACTTGCGTTTCCATGCCACATACTAGAATATACTTAAATATGCTACATTCAAACAACGTCTCGCCCCTATAGCTTCAAATCATTTCTAGGTTTGGCAAAGAGAGACCGGCGACTAGGGAGCGCGCGATAGAGACGAGAGAGTAAGCGATGGCGGAATGTGATGAAGACGATGATGATGTATGGTTTCTTCTTTGATTCTCGGATGAAATCCCCTCCATTCTCTCCATAATCTTTCTTCTTTCTTCAGATTCTCGAGGATTCTTGGACGGTAGGCTCATTTCTTGCGAAATTTCAATCCTAATCTTCGTTCATGACCCTGGAACGCGAAGATCGATCGCGCCGATGACGAAGCGGTAAGTTCTACTTCGTAATCTCGGTTCTTTCCAGCGTCTGGCCTTGATTCCCAGAGCGCAAGCGGCATATGGACGCAGATCGTGAGTTTCCTTGACAACAAGCGGAGAAAGGAGCTCCAACGACGCAAGTATCAAGCCCGGAAGAGTTTGTGCCTCGCCATGCCGGTGCCAAAGGTACAAATTCAAATCTAAGCCGTTCATTTACTACCTAGGGTTTCTAGATGCCAAAGCTGGAGGCTCGATCGAAGCAGCCGCTGGAGCAGGAGCATCGACGAAAGCCGCCGCCATTGCCATCGAGGACCATGCCAAGGGAAGAGCTTGAGCCACCGCATGTTCTTGCTGCTCTACTGGCTTTGATGGTCATCTTTGGAGTAGTCTTTGGTGGGGTGGGTACGATGGCCATTGCTTTGGTGACGGCTGTGATCATCCCCTGCTGGATGTGGAGGGAGTTCAAGGTTGGGCCATTCCATGTCAAAGCCCTCGGCTTTGCAGGTACTCTCTCAGTTTTACTTCACATTTCTAGAGAAACTTCTACAGAGCAAAATCGAAGAAACGAGCCCCCAAAGGAACGCAGGACCCGTCGTCCAGATCCAGAGCAGTGCTCATGTTGCTACTTTGACACTGCGAACTGTAGGTACCATTCTAGATTCGTCAACTAGAAATTCCTGTGAAGCTCTGAGATCTGCTACAACCGTTCAATTCTACCTCCATTCTGTGAAAACTGCCGTTCTTTGGCAAGCTGTTTTGCAGGATATATAATTCCAATAGTTTGACGACTGAGAAAGGAACTCCAAGCAGGTACCTTTGTGTCACAGTTTGTATGAGCTTTTGCTTCTCATGGAGTCTTCTCTTCCAGGACCAAAGGAGGACTTAGCTCCTCGGTGCTACTCCAAATAAAAAAGGCTCAACGCCGATATGAAAGCGAAGAACACAAAGGTATGAAGCAATGAAAACGTTTCCAAGGTCTTTCCTTCTCCTTACCACTGATGCAATATATCAGAAGAGATCGAGCGACTGGTGTTTAACACGACTTGTGCGATTCCATAGAAGGCGCGTTGCGCCAAGAGGATGGCGATTCTGCGTGCCTTGGGTGATGGCGCTTGATCCGGCCACGGAAGGTCCTCCCTGGCAAGGCTCGGCGCCGTCGCCTTGTTTTCGCCGTCGCCTTGTCTTCTTCTGCAGAACTGATAGTTTCGTGCTCTTGCAGAAGCGCCTGAGGTACGAGTGTGCGTGCCTTGGGTGATGGCGCCCGATCCGGCCACGGAAGGTCCTCCCTGGCAAGGCTCGGCGCCGTCGCCTTGTCTTCTTCTGGAGAAGTGATAGTTTCGTGCTCTTGCAGAAGCGCCTGAGGTACGAGTGTGCGTGCCTTGGGTGATGGCGCCCGATCCGGCCACGGAAGGTCCTCCCTGGCAAGGCTCGGCGCCGTCGCCTTGTCTTCTTCTGGAGAAGTGATAGTTTCGTGCTCTTGCAGAAGCGCCTGAGGTACGAGTGGTCCGACTGGCAGATAGTTGGGAAACTCTTTCCTGCGCGAAGTCACAAGTTCGTGATCCAGCTCCTCGATGGAGTTGACGAGAACACACGCAGCTTCCTTTGTTCGCTTTGCAGCAGCTCCCAGAAGAAGCACAACAGGACCGCCGCGCTGGAAGCCAAGAGGAAGCAGTCTCCTCGGGAAAGGCTCGAGGCCGGGAATGAAGTCGATCAGAGTTTGGTGGTCGGGGTTGCCTGAAAGAGAGGAAAGAACGCGCAGAGGTACGAGTAAAGCATCCTCCTTTCTTCTCAAAACCAAAGCTTTTCTCCTTACCACTGGCAGGAATATAACCCCGGGACTCGAGCTCTGGGATATGGTAGAGGAGCACCTCATTGATCGCGTGACTGGTGTTTAAGGCGACCTGTGGGATTCCCAGGCTCGCGGCAAGCAGAGGGTCCTGAAGGCAGCCCTGGCCGCCATGGATGAGCAGGAGCGGCAGCTCCAGTTGCGGCTGCAGGGGCTCCAGAGAGTGCCGCCACCCAGCACCGGCTGCTGCAGAAGATCGTCCGCACGGCGATTGTGGCCGAGGTCGCGCGGGCTTCTCCGGTGGAGAAGCCAGAGGGCGTTGGGCAAAGGAGCCAGGACTATGTTAAATGGGGTACGGTTTTTCCTCAGATGTGTAGCGGTGGAGGTGCCAGTTCTTCGTAAAAAATTGGATCATTCATCCGATACAGGTAGCCAATCCACAATTGTGCATCGAACACAAAGCTTTGTGTTGCGTAGATAATCTGGTGCTGCTGCTCTTACGGTCATCTACTCAGTTCTTCGTGTGTTTCCGCAAGCTCTGTGAAAGCCAAACTCTTCTATAGGAACGCCTCTACGCTACGTATAGCGACAGCCGAATTTGACCCAGTTGTGGAGGTGAGCTGTGGGATTCTTTCTCTGAAACCAAACCAAATTCAGGTTCGTCAATCTCAAAAAGCTTGAGTAACTCTCCCATTTCAGTTGGACTTGCAATGCGTTGATTGACATAGATCTCTCTCTCTCCCCCCCCTCCATTCCTTGCTTTTCTGCCTCGCCCTCGCTCGGTCGCAATGCTGATAAGCTGGCCGACGCCTCTCCCTAGTCTCATGAAAATAGAATGGATATGTAAAATGCCTTGCATAGACAGACACGTATATCTAAACGTCATTTGCGTCAGGTAGTTGGTCCCAAAAAAGAAGAACTCCGCGATATGTCAAAGAATCCTCAAGAAAGATTATGAGTGTCCTAGAACTCTGTAAGAACTATTTTGATAGGGATATCAATTTGCGCGAAGAACTTTGACCAAGTTGACTTGGTCAGCGGTTTATAAGGTGGTGAACTTTTCCAGAAGAAACAATGAGAGGACTGACACAAGTTACTAGCCAATGTTCCAGTATTGTGATCCGACTTCCAGATGGAAACCTGTGCCTGCTCTCCACCACTGCTGCATAAGCGCTTCTGAGTGCTACTGCTCGGCAAGGAACAAATCCTGGTTCATCGCAGAAATTGCGAACAGCGCGCAGGAACTCGATACGTACAAAGCAAGGCGACGGCGCCGAGCCTTGCCAGAGAGGACCTTCCGTGGCCGGATCAAGCACCATCACCCAAGGCACGCAGAATCGCCATCCTCTTGGCGCAACGCACCTTCTATGGAATCGCACAAGTCGTGTTAAACACCGGTCGCTCGATCTCTTCTGATATATTGCATCAGTGGTAAGGAGAAGGAAAGATCTTGGAAACGTTTTCATTACTTCATACCTTTGTGTTCTTCGCTTTCATATCGGTGTCGAGCCTTTTTGATTTGGAGTAGTACCGTGGAGCTAACTCCTCCTTTGGTCCGGGAAGAGAAAACTCGATGAGAAGCAAAAGCTCATACAAACTGTGACACAAAGGTACCTGCTTGGAGTTCCTTTCTCAGTCGTCAAACCTGGAATTATATATCCTGCAAAACAGCTTGCCAAAGAACGGCAGTTTTCACAGAATGGAGGTAGAATTGAAAGGTTGTAGCAGATCTCTGAGCTTCACAAGAATTTCTAGTTGACGAATCTAGAATGGTACCTACAGTTCGCAGTGTCAAAGTAGCAACATGAGCACTGCTCTGGATCTGGACGACGGGTCCTGCGTTCCTTTGGGGGCTCGTTTCTTCGATTTTGCCCTGTAGAAGTTTCTCTAGAAATGTGAAGTAAAACTGAGAGAGTACCTGCAAAGCCGAGGGCTTTGACATGGAATGGCCCAACCTTGAACTCCCTCCACATCCAGCAGGGGATGATCACAGCCGTCACCAAAGCAATGGCCATCGTACCCATCCCACCAAAGACTACTCCAAAGATGACCATCAAAGCCAGTAGAGCAGCAAGAACATGCAGTGGCTCAAGCTCTTCCTTGGCATCGTCCTCGATGGCAACGGCGGCCTTTCGTCGATGCTCCTGCTCCAGCGGCTGCTTCGATCGAGCCTCCAGCTTTGGCATCTAGAAACCCTAGGTAGTAAATGAACGGCTTAGATTTGAATTTGTACCTTTGGCACCGGCATGGCGAGGCACAAACTCTTCCGGGCTTGATACTTGCGTCGTTGGAGCTCCTTTCTCCGCTTGTTGTCAAGGAAACTCACGATCTGCGTCCATATGCCGCTTGCGCTCTGGGAATCAAGGCCAGACGCTGGAAAGAACCGAGATTACGAAGTAGAACTTACCGCTTCGTCATCGGCGCGATCGATCTTCGCGTTCCAGGGTCATGAACGAAGATTAGGATTGAAATTTCGCAAAGATTATGGAGAGAATGGAGGGGATTTCATCCGAGAATCAAAGAAGAAAGCATACATCATCATCGTCTTCATCACATTCCGCCATCGCTTACTCTCTCGTCTCTATCGCGCGCTCCCTAGTCGCCGGTCTCTCTTTGCCAAACCTAGAAATGATTTGAAGCTATAGGGGCGAGACGTTGTTTGAATGTAGCATATTTAAGTATATTCTAGTATGTGGCATGGAAACGCAAGTCCTGGGCACCAGGAATCTCCACGAAGCCCTCGATCGCCTTGCGCAGTCCGACGCCGCGCTGGATCCGGCGTCCTATGGTGCTCTTCTCAAAGAATGTGGCAATGCCAGGGAGCTGGCGCTGGGCAAGCTCGTCCACTCTCACATCGCCAAGCACGGCTCATCCGACAGAGACACATTCCTGGGGAATTTCTTGGTTCACATGTATGGGCGGTGTGGAAGCATCGACGACGCGCGCAGGGTCTTTGATAGGATCCGGCTGCGCAACGTCTTCTCTAGCAACATCATGATCGCGGCATTTACCGAGAATGGGGATCTTGCTAGCGCGAAGAACCTGTTCGATCGATCGACCGTGAAGAACACCGTGACATGGAACGCAATGATCAATGCGTACGTGGGCGCTGGCGCGATGGAAGAAGCTAAAGATCTGTTCAAGGCGATGCCAGTGAGAGACGTCGTTTCGTGGAGCGCGATGATCAAAGCAAATGCCGGGAGAGGGGATTTGGAGATGGCGATTCTTCTGTTCAAGCTCATGGATCTAGATGGAGTGCGGCCGAATCGCGTGGCATTCATGTGTGTGCTCGAGGTGTGCGCTGATCTAGAGGCAATCACGCTGGGGATCACGATCCACGAGCTCATCCGGGAGGCAGGGCTGGAATCCGAGACGAAGATCGCGAACACGCTCATCCACATGTATGGGAGCTGCGGGAGCATCCAGAAAGCCAGCGAGATCTTCGAATTGATGCCACACAAATCCACAGTCTCGTGGAATTCCATCGTCTCGGCCTATGCCTGGAGTGGAGATCTCGATCAAGCCCAGCACCTGTTCGATCGGATGCCCCAGCGCGACGTGGTGTCGTGGAATTCGATGCTCGCGGCGTATTCCCAGAACGGGCATGGCGATCGAGCTCTGGAGCTGTTCTTGGTGATGGATCCCTCGCTGCAAAACGAGGTCACGTTCGTGATCGCGGCGAATGCGTGCGCGAGCCAGGCAGCGCTGGAAGAGGGCATCGCGATCCACTCGAGGGCCGTGTTCTACGGCTATGGCAGCGACACCCTTGTGGCCAACGCGCTCGTCACGCTCCTGGGCAAATCCGGGAGCGTGGAGGGCGCCAAGAGCGCCTTCGATCGAATTCGCTCCAAGGACGCCGTGTCGCTCAACAGCATGATCGCGATCTACGCCGCGAATGGATCCGGCGAGGCGGCGGTGGAGGCGTTGCGATCCATGGCGGCGGAGGGCGTGAGCCCCGATTCCATCACATTCATGAGCGCGCTCTCGGCGTGTAGCCACTCGGGACTACTGGATCTGGCCTGGGGGCTCTTCCCGTGCATCGCTGGAGACTATGGGATCGCTCCAGCGATGGATCACTACGTGAGCTTGCTGGATCTGCTGGCTAGAGCTGGGAGGATTGACGAGGCCGCGGATTTGATCGCCCATATGCCATTTGAGCCGCCGGTGCTGGCGTGGACGATACTACTGGGCGCTTACAATGCGATGGGGCAGCAGGGATCCAATGCCGTGGAGCGATCGATGGAGCTAGAGCCCGAGAACTCGGCACACTATGTCCTTCTCTCCAATCTGAAGAGCCCTAAAAACAGGGGTAGGGTTTGATTTAAAGTTTGGTTTTTGGGGGGAGCGCCATGGATCCAAGGAGGGGAGCGGCCATGGATTCAAGGGGTGGACGCGAGAAAAAGCAGCGCCGGGCGGCGACCGAAGATCTTTGGCGAAAATCCGGGGTAAATGTAGTGGTTCTTTCGATTCATTGATTATTCGTTGCGTTTGCCAAGGCATTGCCAAATGGATGTGGAAGCTGTTCTCAAGGTATGCATCTGTGTGTGTGTGTGTGTGATCTCGCTAACTTTGGTTCCACCTTTTCGAAGTTCGTTTGGAGATTTCTTCATCGATCTTAATCTTCAAGGTAAGAGAGCTCTGTAGAAAGTGCTAGATTTTTTATTTTTCACGGGTGGAGCTTCTTCTCCAGACCAGCGATGTTTCTGCTTCGAGATCAGTGATCGATGTGGAAGCTCCTCTCAAAGGTATGTATTTTATTTTTTCTTTTCTCTCTTCTTTTTGCTGACTTTCGTTGAAGTGAGTGGAGCTTCTCCAGATCAGCGATGCTTGGAGATTGTCTACTGAGAAGCGGCTACAATCACGTTCTTGAGTTGCCGAATGTTTCTCTCGAGGCCAGTACTTTTCCTCACAATCTCCTTGAGAGCTTCGGCTCTGCGTCTCATTGTTTTTCCTTCTTCGCCATTCATTACAGCATCTATGATCTTCTCCAAGTCTTCGCATTTGACACCATCGTCGGGTCCATCAGCCAACTTCACCCCAGTCTTCCACTTCTCCGTCATTACATGAGCATTCGAGTTCTGCTCGTAGGCGCACGGCCAGCAAAGTGTTGGTACTCCACAGAGCAGGGCCTCTAGCACCGAGTTCCATCCACAGTGCGTTAAGAAGGCTCCAACTGCGGACTGGCGCAAGACAGGCACTTGTGGAGCCCATTCCACAACTAAACTGTGCTCTCCAACTTTTTCTTGCAGGCTTTCGAAGAAGTTTTCAGGTGCGTCGCTTGCAAAGTTTCGTCTGATCGCCCACAAGACTGGCTGGTGAGTGGCTTGCACAGCTTTAGCGATCTTCTCCACTTGATCAGCCGGGAGGGAGATGACGCTTCCGAAGGCGATGTAGAGAACCGAGCGGTGAGGTTGTTTGTCCAACCAGCTGATACTAGTGTCTTCTTCTGGAGAACTGATAGTTTCGTGCTCTTGCAGAAGCGCCGGAGGTACGAGTGGTCCGACTGGCAGATAGTTGGGAAACTCTTTCCTGCGCGAAGTCACAAGTTCGTGATCCAGCTCCTCGATGGAGTTGACGAGAACACACGCAGCTTCCTTTGTTCGCTTTGCAGCAGCTCCCAGAAGAAGCACAACAGGACCGCCGCGCTGGAAGCCAAGAGGAAGCAGTCTCCTCGGGAAAGGCTCGAGGCCGGGAATGAAGTCGATCAGAGTTTGGTGGTCGGGGTTGCCTGAAAGAGAGGAAAGGACGCGCAGAGGTATGAGTAAAACATCCTCCTTTCTTCTCAAAACCAAAACTTTAGTTCTTACCACTGGCAGGAATATAACCCCGGGACTCGAGCTCTGGGATATGGTAGAAGAGCACCTCATTGATCGCGTGACTGGTGTTTAAGGCGATCTGTGGGATTCCCAGGCTCGCGGCGACGTCCTGTGACCAGCCCAAGAAGAAATCAGAGATTAGGCACTTCACCGGTGGTCGGAGGGCCTCTAGAACCGCTTTCACTTCCTCTTGGAGCTCTGCAGCTCTGATAAGTGACACGTCCGTGGGTGGGCTCGGCACCAGATCGATGTGGAGGTCATCTTCCCGCAGGCTCGACTCCACCTTGGAGCACAGATTCCTGGGAAGAACAAAGCTTACGTGAAATCCCAGCGGGACGAGGCGGCGGCAAAGCTCGAGCATGGGATTGATGTGGCCGGATCCATCGCAGGGAAGCGCTGCTATGTGAAGACGCTGCTCGTCTGCCATCGCCAAAGCAAAGACTAAAGATCCAGAGAGGGTTGTTGACTATTGACTATTTGACTGGTGTTTTCTTTTTTGGGTGAATTTAGGGCTCTTGCGAATGGCGATCCCGGCGTGGCGGATTTGCCTAGCGTCGGCGTCCCCGGAGGAGCAGCAGCACCAGCGGCGCCTCACCTCGCTGCTGCGCAACAAGCAGCGGGCCCTGGAGGCGCGCCTGGCCGCTATGGATGAGCAGGAGCGGCAGCTCCAGTCGCGGCTGCAGGGACTCCAGAGATTGCCGCCGCCCCAGCACCGGTTGCTGCAGAAGATCGTCGCCAGCACAATGCAGGGCCGCACGGCGATCGTGGCCGAGGTCGCGCGGGCCTCTCCGGCGGAGAAGCCAGAGGGCGTTGCGCAAAGGAGCCAGGACTATGTTACATGGGGTATGGATTCTTTTCGTTCTCTCCTTTTCTTTGCGGCGTGATTCGAGTGTTTGCTTCCTTGTCCAGGAGCTGACGCCATCTCGGTTTGCACTGACGAAGAAGTATCGCCAGATGGAGTTTTGGATCTGGAAGCTGTTTCTAAAGGTAGCGATTCTTCTTTCTTTCTTACTATGTTGTGTTCTCCTTGACATTGGTTTCCTAAGTTTGTGCGAAGTAATTCCTCGGATGTGCAGCGGTGGAGGTCCCAGTTCTTCGCAAAGATTGGATCATTCATCCGATACAGGTAGCCAATCCATAATTGTGTATCGAGCACAAAGCTTTGTTTTGCATAGATAATCGATACTCGGGAATCCGGTGCTGCTGCTCTCACGGCCGTCTACTCAGTTCTTTCCAAAGGTACGTGTGTTTCTGCAAGCTCTTAAAAAAATCAAACTCTTCGATTTGCAGGAACGCCATCCATTCTACGCTACATAGCTACAGTTGGACTTGATGCAGTTGTGGAGGTGAGCTCCTTTCTTTCTCTGAAACCAAGACTAAATTAGAAATTTCCAGGTCGTCAATCTCAAAGAACTCGAGGAACTCTCCACACTCGGCATCCCGCTCTTTGGTTTCAACATCTCAGTTGGAGTTGCAGTGCGTTGATTGACATAATTTTTGCTCTCTTGCCATCAGTATCAACCTCTTTCCCTTCTCCTACAGGTTCCAATACCAGGCTTTCGGCAGGACATCGCCAAGTCTCTGGTTCAAAAGCTCCCCTTTGGAGCCGCGTCCATTGTGGTGAGTTTTAGCCCTCTCCTCGCGCGTCAACTCAGCTTTTTCTTCTCGTCCAGGGCGTTGCTTCGATGGAGGAGGCACGGCAGATGAAGGTGGCGGGGGCGGACGCCGTCTACCTGAAAAGAGAGGCTCTAAGTTCGCCGCAAGAGCTACTCGAAAGCTTGCGAGAAGGATTGAGTGGAGACGACTAGAAAAACAAATAAACAGCAGTCATTTACAATCACGGTTCACGCAGATTATTTACAGTATGTATAGTTTTTAGTGTCAGTAGAGTTTCATGAATGGATTCCTTGCGATTCTACTTCTTGGTAGCTGCCTGTGCAGCAGCGAGTCTCGCAATTGGCACTCTACATCAAACAAAAGTTTGCATTAGAATTCTTTCCTTTTCTTTCTCTCTTTCTTACCTGAAAGGCGAGCACGAAACGTAGTCTAGACCCGCGTCATGGAAGAACTCTACGGACATGGGCTCCCCGCCGTGCTCTCCACAAACTCCTACCTGATGTTACACAGGCGGTCAGCCATGAATCACACAACTTAGCTCGTTTCACCTTCAAACCATCCCTGGCTTTTCTGCCTCGCTCGGTCGCAATGCTGATAAGTTGGCCGACGCCTCTCTGGTCAAGAACCTGAGATCCGGAAGAACAAAAAAGTATAAGAAAAGCCTCGTGAAACGTCATGCGTGCACCTCGAATGGATCATGCTGTAGAATGCCTTGCGAGAGGTAGACGGGTAAGAACTTGCTCACGTCGTCTCGGCTATAGCCAAACGTCATTTGCGTCAGGTCGTTGGTGCCGAAAGAGAAAAACTCCGCGTGTGATGCAATCTAGCGTGTCACCGAATTAAGCAAACAAAACCACGGGAGATTCTGTTACCTCGTCTGCAACGAGTGCTGCCCGAGGGATTTCGATCATAGTTCCAATCTTGTATGGCAGGCTTTTGCCAACGTCCGAGAAGACTCTTTCCGCTACACCGTGGATTGCAGAAACTTGGTTTCCGAGTTCCTGTATACAGGATAATCGTGAAAAAACATTAGCTTGCACAAAAACTCGACGAACCTGAGGAGTCCCCACAAGAGGAACCATTATTTCAGGGTAGACTTTAACACCTTGATTGGACATTGCTATAGCCGCTTCGAAGATGGCACGAGCTTGCATTTCTGTAAGCTCCGGATACGAAACTCCCAGCCTGAGAACATCTAACGTAGAATCTCCACTAAAACTCTCATGTTTGAAATATACCTGCAGCCTCGGAAACCGAGCATCGGGTTCACCTCGGACAACTTTTCAACTCGAAGTAGAACATCTTCCTCGCGGACACCAGTTTCCGCAGCAAGCTCTTCCACAATCTCGTCAATGTCACCTTCGGGAAGGAACTCGTGTAATGGAGGATCAAGCAAACGTATGGTGACCGGAAGTCCTGCATTCTTGTTGGCAAGAAACACAGGTTAGTGACTAAAACTACCAAGCTTCGCACTTTACCATCCATGACGCGAAAAATTCCTTCAAAGTCTGATCGTTGGTATGGTAGAAGCTTGTCCAGAGCTGCTTGCCTGTGTTCGAGAGTGGATGCCATGATCATCTGCCTCACAGCCTTGATCCTCTCATCTGAAGCAAAGAACTGAACGCGCATGGATAGCTCGAGAAAAGAGCATAAGAGAGCTCACGTACCATGTGTTCTGTTCTGCACAATCCGATACCTTGAGCACCGTTGTTTCTAGCAGTGAGCGCATCCGCAGGAGTATCGGCATTGGCCATAACCTGAACGCATGTCCATGTTTAATTGTGCATCTTTACTTCTCATACCTTGAGCTTCCGATAATCATCAACCCAGCGCATGAGAGTCTCAAGATCACCACTAAGTACCGGAGGTGACAAATCCTGCCTTCCCACAATAACCTCGCCCGTTGTCCCATTCAACGAAATCCAGTCACCTTCTTTCAGTACCGTGTTTCCCAGCGACATTGTCTGTAAAGTACGTTTCAAAACCAGAACGCTTGGCACTCTTTACCTTCTGTGCGTCGTTCACTCGAAGCTCCGAGCATCCAGCAACACAGCACTTTCCCCAGCCTCGGGCAACAACAGCAGCATGAGACGTCATCCCTCCGCGTGCAGTAAGAATGCCGGCGGCAGCATTCATGCCTCCAACGTCTTCTGGACTCGTCTCGTTTCTTACCTGAAAAGGATTAAAGATCACTAGACAGATAAATGACGCTGCGTGAAGAATACCAGAATACAGCTTTTCCCTTGAGCATGCCAGGCTTCTGCATCTTCGGCACTGAAAACGAGTTGCCCGACTGCGGCACCAGGTGAAGCAGGAAGACCAGAACCTATGACATAATCTTTGTATGCAGCAGGATTCTCGAACTGTAGACGGAAAACGAAGGAATTGTGAAGGAGAGAAACAAATCTTTCTACCTGAGGATGAAGGAGCTGGTCCAGGTGTCTAGGCTCGACCATGTTCACAGCGGTTTTGGTGTCCACAAGCTTTTCGCCAACCATGTCGACAGCAATCTTTACCGCTCCAGCACCAGTTCGTTTCCCGGAGCGGCACTGCAGCATCCACAACCTGTTTGATTGAACAGTGAATTCGATGTCCTGAACATCACCAGGAGAATTATTAGAACATGGCATATATATACTGCGTCCTAACCATCATATCCTTGTAGTGGTTTTCCAGTATTTCACAGTTCTTCACAAGCTCCGCATAAGCACCAGGCAAGCGTTCTTTCATAACATCAATATCCTCCGGCGTCCTGATCCCAGCCACAACGTCCTCTCCCTGCAGCCATCATACTTTCAAAGTCATCATAGATGCAACTATAGATTAAAAACCTGTGCGTTAATCAGGTACTCGCCATAGAGCTTCCTTTCCCCAGTGCTAGGATTGCGAGTAAACAGCACCCCAGTACCCGAGTCAAGTCCCATATTTCCAAAAACCATAGCTTGGACATTAACAGCCGTGCCTCGCAAACCACTGATTTGGTTGATATTGCGATACTTGATGGCACGAGGACTGTTCCACGACTCGAAGACAGCCACAATGGCAAGCTTAAGTTGCTCTTTTGGATCTGCTTAGACAAGAAGGCCTGTCAATAAAAGCATAAGAAGACAAATACATACCAGAAGGAAACTCTTTGCCAGTTGCTTTAGAGTAAACCGCCTTGTATTTCTCAACAAGCTCTTTAAGATCCTCCGTGGTGAGGTCCGTGTCAAGCGTTGTCCCTCTCGCAGCCTTCATCGTTTCCAGCTCATGCTCAAACAGTGAATGCGGAATATTCATCACCTGCAACTTAAAGTAAGGACCTTTCCAGAGACGGCATACATATGACTTACCACATCACCAAACATGTCGAGGAAGCGACGATAAGAATCATACGCAAATCTCTCGCCGCTTATCTGGCCTAGGCCGGCAGCAACCTCGTCGTTGAGCCCCAGATTTAACACCGTGTCCATCATTCCCGGCATTGACACCTGCATTTCATACAGTCAACACTAACACCACCCTGCAGAACCGAGAAAGAATAAAAGCTAGAAACACTAACCGCAGCACCTGACCGTACAGAAACCAGCAGTGGCGCAGTGGGATTTCCCAGCGAAGCATTCATTTCTCGCTCCACAACGCTGAGTGCAGCTAGAACTTCCTCCCACAGGCCAGAAGGGAATTTCTTTCCGTTGTCAAAGTAGTCGTGACAGGTTTCTGTGGTGATGGTAAGTCCCGGAGGTACAGACAGGCCTATGCTCGACATTTCTGCGAGGTTTGCACCTTTGCCACCAAGCTGAGAGGATAAGAACAGCGATCATACATTTCAAGATAAGGAGAAACTATTATTTTTTTACCAGAGACTTCATGCTCTTGTCCCCTTGACTGAGCCCCTTCCCGAATGTATAAACACGCTGGGGCTGATGCTGGTGTAACTCAAGCTGTGTGAGCTGCTGCTGCCCCTGATCGCAAAACAAAAACAGTGATCACGTCCACAAAAACTTAATTTTGTACCTGAACTGCGAAAACTTGAGCTCTTCCAGCTGAAACTTTGTAGCTCGTCTTCGCTATCCTTGTCTGAAGCAAGGGACGCTGCTCGTTGCCATAAAAAGCCGCTGCAACAGCGGCCTTGTGCTGCTGCTGCATAATTGAAGCGAACATCATCTTACTGGCACAAGCCATTGCCCCGAGCACACCAGATAACTCTGGAAGAAGGAAGAAACACAAGAAAGGGCCTCAATCCACTTTATGATTACGTTTCCAAAATTTCGCGAGCTTAAAACCCGAGCTTAGCGAATCAACGATAGCTCTACCTCTCTACAGTAGCTTGTTTTTACAAACTGCAACCACAAAAAATGAATTATGTCTAGATAGAGCAAAAGGCTCCGCTCGCTGCAAAATTCTCCACTCACTCACATCAACTTCTGAAGGAGATCGACAGTTTGTCCTGCCGCATGTAAGACGAGCTTCTTTACCTGAAAATTTTGCGACTTAGAAAGAGCTGAGTCTAAAAACAGAATCAGTACCTCCAGCTTATCTTCTTTAGCCCGATGGTCCTTTGGAAGTCGCCGAAACTCCTCTGTTAGACGAATGCACTCATGCACATTTTCCGGAGACACAAAATCTAGTGCGACCTTGATGCATGACTGCCACAAAGGAAGAACTCGGGATCATACATCTCGTTTCAGTGGTGACATTTTACCTTCAAATTCCTCACTTGGTGGGGGCAGCCCGCAGGAATAAATACTGCTTCTCCAATGTGCTGTTCGAAAGTCCACGGCTCTATTTCTGAACAAGGGCTATACATAAGCTTAGCTGAAAAACAACGTAGGATAAAACTTACGATACTCCTCTTTCAACTGCAGTTTATGCTTCTCGTCCAAGAAAAAAATCTGATCATGTATGGGATGGTGCACCTGATGTAAAAAAAAAGGAGTAAACAAGCGTAAGAATGGTTATAAAGAATCTCAACGTTTACCTCTTTAACTGGCAAGTTTCCTATGTGTCTGAACTCTGTCGAATGTTTCATCAGATATGCTTCGAGTTTGGGAACGTCTTCTCGTCTATAAATATCCCATAAGGCACCTCCATAAGTACTGCTCTTGGCCTCACAGACCAAAATTTCATCCTTGTGACTAGTGTCGACTCCAGAAGAACAGCTCTCGGAAGACGTGTTCTCACTCGGTGACGTTTGCATATTGCGCAGATCTTTGCGCATAACTTCTATCCGTTCCTTGCGTTTCTGTTGC